AGTCATCAATTAGAATGCACCATAATTAAGCACCATTAAGAGCAAGCGCGGGACAAAATTGTCCTTTGCTCGAGCAGCAGTTGCCAGTGTCCTGCATTGTTGTGTAAGCAGGCTAATGTTAGCACACTTTGGTTAGCTCATAGCTTCATATTGCACATAAATTGACACAGAATGACTGTGATCTAAATACTCTGACATGACATCCAAATAAGCAGTGAGCAGACTGTGTTATTCTTCTTTTCTCTAGTCCTTGACACGGCCCGACAACAATACAGCTGGAGGGACATTAACAGAGGATGTAATTGATTTCTGCTGTATTTATGTGTAAAATGTTACACATTCTTCCTTCAATATTATTTAAACGGTTACGTCTTTTAAAACTGTCTTGAGCGTAGAGTTGTCCTAATATAGAAATTAGCTACAGAGAAACTTTTTTTTACCAGGCTGCGAACATAATTATTTGCCCTCTAAAGTTGGGGATTTAAGAATGGGGTTTAATGGGGATTGACTCACTTTTGGAGCGAGCCTCAAGTGGTTGTTAGTGGAACTGCAGCTTTTTTAAAGCTTCTGCTTTGGTTGAAAGTTTAAACCGGAATTTCAGTACATTACTTAACATGGTTTTTGAAAGCTCATGGTGAAAAGTCTCACATGATTTGACTGTTCAAGTTCAATATGTTTGGTTGATGCATTGTGTGTGTGATTCTGTGTCCTTGTGCAGTTTGAGGCCCACACTGCGGTTTTGTCTTCCTCCCTACCAATCTTTCTCTGTCCTCCCTCTCCCTCTCTCTCTCCCCTTGCTATTTTGCAGTCTCACCCTCCTTCCTTTCCCTCCACTCCCTCCAAATTGCCTTACACTCCCTTCTCTCTCTCTCTGCCTGTCAGGAAGAACTGAACAATATGACCTTTAGTCGCAGCGATAACATTCTCCCTCATGAATTCCCCGCCGCTCCAGCTTTCCTTTCACATTCTTACCGGTTTGTTTTCGCTCCTGGCGCCTCTGTTTTTCTTAGAAATGATCATCTCGGCACCCGGTGATTAACGAGTAGCACCGGGGGGCTGGGGGAGGAAGTGTCAGGACTCTGTGGGGGTCACACACAGTCATACATTAGCTAAATATATGTTCACACTGCAGCTGAGGGTGTCTCTTCACTTTTTTTTTTATCTTCTCACGAGTGTCACAGTCATACCTGGTGTTTATTTTAATCAGTGTGAACAGTGACAGGCTGCATGAAGTTATGTTTTTTATAATTCCCTTCAGGGCTTAATGGAAATGTCTGTAAATGAGACCCAGAGGACAGATTGGGCTGAAACAGGGCCCTGGAGCAATATCTTAGTTAGTTACCCCAAGAACCTCCCACTATATACAACACACCCTGTCGTATTGAAATAACCATAAAGTACAGTGGACACAGACTGCTACATTTTACACCTTAGAGATTTTTTGTCAAGGACTCATTGACAAACAGCAGGGCTTTGAAATCATCACTTCGACAGCTGTGACTAACAACTTGATGTTAGGTATTTTTCCAACTTCAATTTGTCATTTAACGATCTGTCAGCTTCCCTTGTAAGATTTTGAACATGTATCACCCAATTAATTCCACAATCCAATACATTTCCAAACTTAAACAGCAGATTGTCGTGTTTTTCTTTTCTTAGCATAAGCTTTGTCTGCAGGCTAACATTGTTGATGTGAAGCGTCAAATGTTTTCTATGTTTGACTATAAGACTGTTGCTCTATGCATAATCGAGCACTAATATTTCAGCAATCATCATGACTGATCATTATTTTTTCCTTCATTTTCCTTTACTTTTCTAAATGTGACAGAAGAGATGTTACCAGAACATGATTGTACATTTGCCTGAAAACAAATTTTTGCTCTAAAAATGACTCAAACAGTATTTTCAAAGGCTGTATTGTCATAGTATCCATATTGTTTTTCCTATCTCTCCAACCAGCCAGTCCATTCCAGCTCTACACTCTTAGATTTCGGATATCTTATCATGTTGTAGTTAAGGTCTTTATGTGTGGTATATGACTGTTGCCTCACTTGGATAAATAATAAATGTCCTTTCTAATTTAGTTCACAATTTGTTTGTCTAATGGAAGAATCTAAAGGTCCCCAAGTCTTGCTATAAAAGTGAATTATGTTGATTGTCGTTTTGTTTTGTGCTGGTCATGATTTTAAGAGCTGAGGGCGATAAAAAAACATGTGTTTATAATCAAATAAATATTACGGTCATGGTCATAGTTTACAATTGTCTTTTGTTGGTTGGCATTGGAAAACATTTTAAAAAAAAATCAATTAAACACAAGCTCACAGTGCAAATAATTAATACAAGTTTAATGTTTTTTTTTATGTTTCTTGACTTTAACAATTTGTTCCAGTTTCAATTGATCAGTTTTATACTGTTGGTAATGAAAACACATTAAATGATCATGACTTCGCTGTTTAAAAGCTCTCTTAACTTTTTTCCCTCATGTTAAATAGGCTACTTATTTTTGGTTTCCTGGCTCTCTGTTTTGCAATGTCACCAATTTACTTTAATATCCTGCAGCTGTGTGAGCTGTTCCTCCATTTCCTGTATGTAAAACACTGAACATTGATGGACAACAGCACACTCAAAATCAGACATCTCTCAGTCTGCAGTCTGCCAGCGAAGAGAATGTTGCATACTTTAAAATGTAGACATTTAGATGTCAGAAACAATGAACTGTAGTCAGGTATGCGTTTAAGGTTCTTGTACTTTGCTTTTTGTTTTTTCTTCTTGTGCTCTTTTCCTCTTCCTGAAGATTTTGGAAAACCCAAATGCTACAATCCAAAAGCAACTAATGTTAGCATCCAGACAGAAAATATATAATATAAGTATCAGTAAGGAAAGCTAATGTAATCATTTAGTAGTTTTACATCAGTATACTTACAAAGGGAAAGTTTAAGCTATGAAAAAATAACTGGTACGTACTAGGAAATGTTAGCTTAAAGTGCTTCAATGCCATTTACTAGATATCACTGTTAGCAGGGAAATGAGTTTGGCCACCTTGGATCAACTAAAATCCAAAAGTTCCAGAGAGCTGGCCAATCAGAATAAAGTAGGCCTTGGGGAGGGGGGGCCTTAAAGAGACAGAAGATGAAAAAAAAGATTCAGGCAGAGTCTGAAATTAGGTTTTTTTTTACTGACTCCAATATAAGATCAAGTTTTTTTTGCTGCAAATCATGTGAAGATACTCTAAAGGTTTCAGAGATTGACAACATGAAAGGTGAAAATGTGGAGAATATATTAATAAGTACAAGGAATTTTAAGATATTTTGCAAGACGGGGTCCCCGCCAGAGGCTCTCGCTACAGGTGGGTATTGATGAGTCCTTGACAGTACAAAGTTGGGATCCCCTGGGCCAGGGGTGGGGCAACTGGCGGCCCGGGGGCCACATGCGGCCCCCATCAACCCTCAACGTGGCCCTCAGGTCAATTTTTTACACATCAATTAATTGAAAACATGAAGAAATCTGCCATGAAATCATGAAAACCAGAAGTATGTCCAAAATAATATTTCATCACTGGTATATGTTGAGTTAAATTTGAGACATAATCGACTGTAATCGTTTTTGGAAACTGCAATTTGGCCTTCTGGCAGTGAGAGTTAAATGAATGTGGCCCTTGCTGTGACCAAAGTTGCCCATCCCTGCCCTGGGCTAACCTACTGTTATCTAGGAAGTGCTTCAGTGCTAGAATGAGCTTTTACTAAAGGTAGAAAATGTGTCATCAAATGTGCGTTTTTGATTTGAAATTTGGCCAGAATTAACTTGAACTCATTTATTAGCCTTACAACCTGAAATACAAATGTTATAGTGTTTTCACTCAAAATGTCTGATGAATAATAAGTTGATTTATGTCCTTTTGATCTGTGGTTGTTTGCGTGCTGGGAAAAACACAGTGATCTGTTGTTACTAAATGAGATAAGTCATTCAGCCTGTTTGGCAGCAGCCTCACAAGTCCAACATTCACATACACGTAGACTTCAGGGTTAATGAGGTACTGAAGGGCACACTAATCAAATGCTACATCTGATTCTGAACACGCTGCCCTTAGGCGCTCATGATGCAACTCCTAAATGCTGCAGGTTTGGATTCTGAAGCATCATAAATAAACAAACAAAGGCAGACCTGTCTGTCAGGAGAAGCCTGCTCACCTGTGATCACATGACCTGACAGGTATGTTACGCTCTGTCACAGGTTTCTGTTTCTCTGCAGGCTTTGACTTGAAGAACTCGAGTGTTTGTGTCAGGAGGAGAGAAGAAAGTGAAGCAAGGACAAAGAAAAGACAGACACAGAGACTGGTTTCTTTGATATCCAGAGGGAGGTAGAGAGTTAACCAGTTACGATGATGGACAGGAGAAAGTGTGGCAGGAATCTTTTGCTCTGTTTTTTAATTCCTCTCACATTTCACAGGATGACAGACCACAGGCATGAATCAAACGAAGAGGCTAAATTGCTAAATCCAGTGATTTAAAAAAAACTAAAAAAAAGGAAAAGAAAATGAATAACAGACTCAAAAACTCATGTTTGATTTGCTGAATCAAGGGTTTGAGATTAGTGCCCAGATGGGGGATTTGGCGCCATCTCCTGTGTCTTCTAAAAAAAAAGACACTAACCCACCAAGCTGTATCGCCAGTCTGTTTTCTCAAGATCTCAGTTTATTTATGTCATGTAGGCCTATGTGTTGAGAAAACAACACTGGTTTTCCGGAGATTATAAATTAATTTCTGACCATCAGTTCACAACCTCTAGTTATTTAAAATACTTTCAAACAGAAAAGCGAATTTACGCTGGTGCTAATGGTGATCCTAATAAAGAAACATCAAAGAAAAGAAAAAAAGTCAGAGGAGTTTAGATCCAGAAAACTTTTAAGAACGTTTTTCTTGATCAGTCAGACTCTCAGCATGTGACAGAATGACATGTGGGTTTTTCTCGAGCAGCAGAAAGAAAATGACAAACTCTACATGCATGAAAGATGTTTGGTGTATTTATTTGTATATTTTTACAGATATCCGTATCAACAGTATATATAACCACTCGCTTCCATTTTAACAAAGACACTGTGGTTTTGTTTTTCTGATTCCCAAACATATCTGTAGAAAACATTTTGAATTTAGCAAACGTGACTCAACAAATCCTCTTTCTTCAAACTTTTTTCCTTCTTTTTTTTTTTTTTTTGCGACATAATCTAATTAAAAACCGTGTTCAGTGTCTTACATCAACTCAATTATCTGTTAAAAGCTTAAACCACAAATATGGCCGCCCGAGCTCGCCCCCGGTAGTTGCTGCAGCATATCTCCTATTTTCATAATCACATTGAAACACTGTCCAGGAATGTTACACATTCACACTCACACACATGATAACATCCAAAGCGTGCAAGAGGAAAAACAATGACATAAAGAAAACATCATCGTTATCATGCTCCCTGCATGCCACCAGAGTATCACAGGAGCCAATAAAAACAGCTACTTGAGGACTCATAGGTGCTGCAGAAGTACATCTGGGGCCAGTTGTGTTTATTTTCCTGGCTGAAACAATCAGTTGCATAACGCCACATATATTAAAACCTTGTTTATACAATACAAAACTATTTAATGCATCATTTGAATAAATTTACAGCACTTAGAAACATTCAAAGTCTCTCTCTGGAGTCCATATCTAATCTCAATCTCCATATTGCCTTGTTTAAAAGTGATTTATTTATTCTCCTAGAAAGCATACAAAAACGTGTGCATACAGACTTTGCATTGCTTACAGAAAACCACATATTAGGAATTAACTGTCTGGAATAATCTCCTCGAAACAGAAAATCTCCTGATAGCCAGTGTTTTAATGACCACACTCAGCTCATTGTTTCTGTAACACTGTTTGGATCGCTGCCACTTCAGGGCCGTGAGTCAAAGCCGAGTCTGTCTGACGGCCGCTGTCGTCAGTTCATTATATTAGTTTTGGGCCAGCAGCGGTCAGGAGGGAAACATGAGAGTCCTTTTGGGACGTCTTCTGTGGTGGTGATACAGTGATTCTCGTGTGTATTTCACAGCTCTCATCATCATCAGCTTTGCATTGGCTGTGCGTGTGCAGTGGTCATCAGAGGGTGAAGTTACAGAGAGTGAGGGATGCTGTCAAACACACAATATTGCACAATCCAGTGAATATATACAGATGTGAACTCTGGCATACTTTTAGTACAGAAACACACACAGCAACATTGTGTGTGTGTGTGTGTGTGTGTGTGTGTGTGTGTGTGTGTGTGTGTGTGTGTGTGTTCCAGTGTCTCAGTACATCGTAAAAGAATGAAAGCTAAAGAGTGACTTTGACCTCGAAAACTAGTCAGATTAGGCGACAGAAAACACAGGCTCATTATTTCTAAACAAAGATACTGAACCGGGTCACATAAGCCACGTGTAAATTTCAAACTAGCCTAGTTTAAGAATCATATATAACATCAGTTGTTTACAACCTGGAACATTTTCTGGGCGACTGCCCTTGCGGAAAAAGCACCGATGTAAATCTCACGCCTCGCCTTAAGGAGGAGAATAGTCTACAGTAAAACATTGGTGGGCATAGTGCACCGCTTTGAAAGCTGTGATTACATGGAAGATGAACAAATGACACCAGAATATTCAATTATTGGTGTATTAATGACACCAACTACCTTCAAAAAAAGCATGATGAGGTAACTTAACATGACATTTGGCTCTAATGTTAAAGTGTTTGCATGAATATATGTTGCGTTAAATAACTTTCATCTTATTTATTCAAAACAGTTTTACAGTTTTACCACTAGGTGTCACTGTTATTTTCTTATAGTTTCAGATTTAGGTTGTATTGTTACAATTTATCCATAAATGAATGCATAAATAAATACATTTCAAAGAATAGATCTCATGAGTATCCCTGATACCTAAAGCAATAGTATTCAGTAGTAATTGCATGTTGCCTTTTGATGATTTAAACAGTGTCATTACATAGTTTGTCCAGCAGACGGCGCTCTAACTTGTTTGTTAACATGCCTATCAGCACTGTCTGCAGCTCTTGTTGCAGAGAATCGAGGCAGGGCATAAGTGGTTGAGAATATTTCTTTAAAAATATATAACTTTTTTGTACTTAACATACAATGTTGTCTTAATTAAAGGAAACAGCCTGTGCATTGACATATTGGTGCACATGTAGAAATGCAGCTCAAAATCGTGGGTAACCCTCTTAAATTGTTTTCTTTTAATCCGTCGTCAATGCCGTTTGTGTATTTAAATTGCCTTAAGCTAATCATCAGCAGCTGAGTTTTAATAATGTGTACTTTAGCAAATATGCTATGAAAGACATTTTGGACCTGGAACTCCAAATCTGCTGTTTCTTTTAGAAATAATAAGCATTAAGTACACCATCATTCTATAAACATTAGTATAACAGCATCTCTTTCTTTGGTTGTATTTGATCGTAAATGTTTGGTTTCAGTGAGGAAGCTCTGTGGTTTAATTTAGTGTTCATGTTCAGTGATTTCCAGCTTCACTGTTTTCATATACTGAGCTTTAAATGGCTGGTTTGCACATTGTTGCAGACTAAATGGTGACAACATTATTAAAACGTTTTGATGATAAGCTCATTGGATGTTGCAATGTTTTTTTTGTTTGCAAAATCAGAATTTCTTAAACGACGATTTTCTGCATGATTTGGTTTAGTTCGCCCCCTAGTGGAGATAATTATAAATGCTTCAGGTGTACCACAGACAGTATCACAGATCAAAAACATTTTTAAACCACTTTTGTCCCCACAAAGACTCTTCTCCTCTCTACAGATCCAATGAGGAGCTCTCTGAAGTACCAGACTTTCTCCTTCGGGACATCTTTGGTGCCGCACACACTCTTCTAGCAGACTGTGGAGGATCTGCGGTGCTCTGATTGGCTACAGATTCTGGTCCAGCCAGCGTATGTAGTTGTCCATGCTCCTCTGTCCGACGCCAGACATCATCGGCAGGAAAGCGAAAACCATGCAGCCGTGAAAGCCATCCTCGTAGTGATCGTTGGTCACCGAGACGCCAGCGTCCTGCAGACGCCTCACGTACATCAACCCGTCATCTCTTAGAACGTCAAACTCACAGGTCATCACGTACGCTTTCGGTGTCCTACCCAGAACCTCTTGCTCCGCCAGCAACGGCGCCGCCCTCACGTCCATCAGCCCTGGTACGACACCCATCACCCCCAGCGTCCCTGTTTCTTTTAAAACAGGTCTAAAGTGTTTCCTGCGTTCAGGCGGGAGTAAAGCGGTCCAGTCCAGTTTGGAGCGGGCGCTGGCGCCGATAGCCGGCTGGTCCAGGGAGCTGTGGTTGTTGGCGAGCAGGAGGCTCTCCAGGGAGCGGTCAGCACCAAGGTACTCCAGCCAGAAGCGAGCCATGTAGTGCCTGTAGAGGATGGGCACAGCCTGGTTCTGCTGATAGGACGGGGTGTAGAAGTCGAGCGCTTGCAGCACGGGGTAAACCAACGCCTGAGCCTTAAACTTCACAGTGACAGTGTCGTCTGAGCTGAGCTGTGGACACAGACAGGTTTCAAGTCAAACATCAGCTGATATGGATGTGAAGGAGAATTGAACTCAAATATTTAGTTAAAAACTGCTGATTGCTAATTATATCTTATCACGAGTTAATTCATTCAGTTTCTTTTAGGCCAACTAATGTGTAACAGTTTGTGTGTAAATCATTTTTTATTCTTTTAATTTTATTCTGATTCTAATTATAATGAAAAATAATAATAATGAGCAAAGGAATGCAGAATATGTTTCCATTGCTGACAAAAAAAATAATTTATTAATGAACTCGTCTACACTTGTGTCTCTGTTTTAGGGCTGTCCCCTCAGATGTGATGATCTCATAAATCAAAAACACCCCGGGTCCTCTCAGATCTATACATTAGAATATCTGCACATTGTTTCATGAGCTGCTTCCCTGCATAAAAATAAAGTAATGAACAAACAGAGCGTACTCTGTTGACTTTAAAAAAACAGTGTTTATCATCTGATTGAAGACAGAGAGCAAAAGAGGACACCATACCTCCAAGCTGAAACAGCTCTTATAGTAATTATTTAATGACACCACTGCTCTCCTTTGAAGTTCTGAGGTGTGTGTGTGTGTGTGTGTGTGTGCGTGTGTGTTGTGTGTGTGTGTGTGTGTGTGTGTGTGTGTGTGTGTGTGTGTGTGTGTTTGTCTGTTTCCGTACCTCCTGTGCCACAGCTGCAGCCAGGTTCCCCCCCGCGCTGTCTCCCGACACACACACTCTCTGTGGGTCGATGCTGTAACGCTCCAGAACCTGAGAGGACAGGAAGGCCCGCGCCGCCCCCAACGCATCGTGGTACTGATCCGGGAATACCGCTTCTGGAGCTAGACGGTAACTATGGCAACAGGACACCGAAGGAAGACAAAATTATTCCTCTTGCATAACACTGTAAAACTCAAATAAAGGATGGACAGTGTGGGTGCTTCACTGCAGCATAGAAGGCTTTTTAAGGTTCAGTTTTTAGTTTTATTCATTGAAGAGGGAATCGAATGTTAAAGTGTTCAATTGAAATTCTCATGTAAGAACTGTGATATATACAGATATATAGGATAAGATAATACTTTATTGATCGAGGGGAAATTTGGGCGTTGCAGCAGCACAAAGACAGTAGAAGAAAAAAAATGTAAACACAATAGATAAGATAAATTTAGATAAAAATAGGAGGTATATACAAGTACAATATAAATGGTGAAGTTAACAGGGTAATTAGACATTATGTGCAGTGAACGGCAAGATAAAGTGAGAAGTGATGATTAAAGTGACTTGGTATGATTGATAGTATATGTTTCCCTGCAGTGACTGTTGCAACAAAAGCTCAGATTTTATTTTATAATGAAGGTTTGTCTACCAGAACTAAAATTCTTCATCAAAAACAACTTGTTTAAAAACATATTTAAGTCACATCTAATGGCCTTAAATAAACATAAAACAGTCGTTATTAAAACTGAAAACTATAGTTTCAAAGTTAAATAGTTTAGATTGTTTTGTAAAGTCTGAATCTTAACTTTATTTTTTACAACAAACGTTCAAACGTTCAAACATGAGCAAACTTTGGGAAGAGTTCTATGGATATTTTCAAACACACTATTTTGAAGGAATAGTCTGGTTCCACTTAAAAATGCTTCATGTCAAAGTTCAAATTCAAAACATTAGAGAGATAATATCTTTATAACTTTAACGTACTTTTAGTTCTAAATCTGTTGTACTTTGAGAAAACTTACTCAACAGACATGACGACAGAGTCCAGGTCCTCGGCCATTTTCCGACAAAGACGGTCGTACGATCGCATCCCTGAGGAGAAGAAGGACATGTTTGTGTTCAACAGCCATGAATGTAAAATCCAACATTTTAAAAGAAGTACATCAGTGTTAACAAAAGTTTTAACAAGGATAGTCCAAGCAACTTTAAGGCTAAAATAGAAATCATTTTTAAACAAAACAAAATGTGTTTCGATTGAGTCCAGACCTTGACTTCGTTTTCTTCTTTGAGGCTTTTTTATTAACATTTCAAAGATGTAGTAAATGTGTAGAGATAGGACAGTGCATAGAGTAGGTATCAGGGACAGAGAGAGAGAGAGAGAGAGAGAGAGAGAGAGAGAGAGAGAGAGAGAGAGGCCTGGGCTTCCTGCTTCCAGGACTTTTCAGAGTTGAACTTTTCACACTCACGTCCGCTGCCGAGGGCCCATCCTCCCCCATGGAAATATATGATCCCTCTTTTCATCCGCTTCCCTCCCTTGGGCTGGAAGACGCGGGTGGGGATGCCGCCCAGGGTGGAGTCTGTCACATGTAAGACCGGGCTGGACCGAGCCTCGATCACCTCCAACCACGACACCACCTGGTTCAACAGGTGGAGCCGGTGACACACACCGAGAGCGTGAGCCACGTCACTCTGAAATACAAATACAGTTGTTATTATTATACATACCTGTGTACCTTATATTATACCTGTGAGGATTGAATGAAGATATGGAGACTGTTTAACACAGAAGCTAATGGGAATCTTAATTAACCAACAAACACTGTTTGATTACAAGATTCAAGATGCAGTTAACTGTATCTTCCATAATATACGCTCAGCATACATGGGAGCGAAATGCTTTACTCCTCACTTCAGGCACACTTAAAAAAACAGAGTCAGATACGTAAAAAGAAGAACAAATACACAATGCCCAGTTTTATATGTATGTTTACAACTGTCTAAAGATTAACTTTATTTGTCCCACAAGGTGACATATATATATATATATATATATATATATATATGTGTGTGTGTGTGTGTGTGTGTGTGTGTGTGTGTGTGGGGCTCTTCTTTATCCATGCTGCAGCCATAAAAAGATAATATTCAACATCATTCACATTCAAAATAAAACAATCAATATCGTCAAATAAAGTCCAAAACAAATCTAAAAAGATAAATAACATCAGGTTCTTAAAATACCAGCACTTCCTCATTTTGATCCTCTCTCTTCTCAAGATGAGTTCAGCTAAGATGAACTGTTTTCTTTCTCACTTTTTTAGGTTGAATATATGATCGTTTGAGATGTTATACACAAAACAATAAATAAATATGGAAACAGATTTTTTTTTTTATGAGCAGGGACAAAAGTATAAATGCCATGAGAATAAATCCACATGAAACTAAACCAACTCAAAACAACATCAACAAAACATTAATTAAATGTGATTTAAGTTACTTTCTAATCGTTCAGTCATGTTTTTTTCCATACTCAATCATCATGAATTGGTTGATTATTTTGTTTTTTTTAACTAAGAATCAGCGCTAAATTCTAAACTAATAAATGTAATGAAGTAAAAACTGCAGCGTTTGCCTCTAAAATGTATAAAAATAAAAGTTTACAGTGGCAACAAATGTTTTCAAGTAGAAATTGAGTAACTATACTTTGTCACTTCCTGCCTCCATTTGCCCTTTAAATCAGTGTTTAACTCTCTCTGCTGTCTGTGTGCAGATTTAACGAACAGTGGAACAGAAACATCCTGAGGATGGATGCAGGGAGAGAAAGTTCAGGTGTGGAAAACTCATCTCCTGCAGGGAGTGTTAGTGTGAGTAAAAAAACGTGTTGCACTGTAGTGACGCAGGTTTATAAGATTTGGGTGTGTGAACTCTGCCATTGTGAGCTAATCAGGAGCTTATGTTAACAACAGCAGCTCTGTCACATGTGTACAACAAGGCCAACACTGTATCAAACAGGTGAGGGCTACAGGGCAGCAGGGTCAGAGGTCATTTGACATGTTGCATCATCACTCCAGTACCTGCTTAATTTCTAGTTTCTATAGAAGCGTCCTGCCAATAGGATTACAGTCTTTTCTGTTGTGTCCAGTTCTAATCTACCTGATTGTGTCCTGATTTAACTTGACTGGGAAGACAGATACTGCAAAATGTTTCAAAAAAGGTATTCAGATATTTACAACGTCTTACCGAAACACTTTATTTTGCTCTCAATGAAGGAAAATCTTCATCGTGAGAAGAAAGGAAAATCTTAATTCTTTAACTGAAATCAAAAACATGAAATCACAAAATATAAAAGGATTAAATATAAGACAAGCTCTCTTATATTTATTATACGAGTAGAATGGAACAGTTGAATAAACTGTGTCTCTGCAGGGCAACAAGTTTCACGCGCACACACACACACACACTTCCTGCATGAGACAGGTTTTTCACGCCTGACCTCTCTCCCTCTCTGCAGCTGTTCGGGGGACTGCTCCACCTTTTTTAAACTGTTGTTTGAATCCCCACTTAGAAAGCAGAGACAGAAACTCACTTTTTTTCTAAAGTGCAACATTGTGCAATATCCAGATATACTCATATTAATTCTACTCTCCCCCACACAAGTACAGTTTTTAATGTAACTTTAGGTTTAATTTATTTGAATCTATCTATTCTAATTTAGCAGCACAATATATAATGAATTAGTTTGGTACAGAATGTTGTAATCGTCTTAAATCTAATCTTCTTTATTCTACTCTAATCAGTGCAGTATGTTATAATCCATACCATTCTTACTGTAATTGTATTATATTATGATACAGTTTGGTCAAAGGTGTAGCATTCTGCTCAAGTGTATTATGTTATTTTCTACTCTTTTCCACCATGGTTTAGTATTTGACAAAAGATTTAACATTCTATTTCAATCAATTCTACTCCAGTACACTACTGGTTTGTTACTGGTCATTTGCTTCATAGTCTGTCCTGTATTGTAACACTCTTACGGCTGCACTGTGTGCTTCATTACAGTATCATGTTTCTTCTTGGTCATCTTTTTTCTTCAGTTATATTCTACTCTGCTGTATACACTCAGATAATTGATTCTATTTTTGAATGTTGTTTAATATTTATTATTGCATATTGAATTGAATCATTTCCAAATCTATTCTGTACATTTTTGTAAAAGCCTTAAATTTAATAATAACAAGATTCTCTTATTTTCTCCCATAAATCTACTGGTTGTCCTGTTTAATGTTATTGTTTATTTATTGTCACATGTTTCAACACTCTGCTCAATTAATATTTATTTTTTTGCTTTGACTCTTTGTTATTGCCATTGTAAACATTTAATAATATTATCTATATTTTCTCTAACTATCTAACCCTGACAGCTCCTGTATTTTCCCATCAACCTGTCCTCCACCTCTCTCCCCCTCACTGCATCCTCACCGCCTTCATGAAGCTCCGGAACAGCGCGTCCAGCAGCATCAGCTTCCACGGCTCGCACACTCCTGTCGGTAGCGGCAAGTAGACGTAGTAAGCAGCCGCCGACAGCAGCACGGCTCCGGCCAAACGGAGCCTCATGGCGGCAGACTGTACCTGCCTAATGCCAACCGGTAATACGGTTATTACCCTCCCCGGTCCAAGGGAATTGGAAGCTCCGCCAGAGATCAACGAAATACAGAGGATTGACCTTGATTTCGAAATAAACCCCGAGCTCGAGGTTTTACGTCTATATCATAGCGAACGATACACGGAATGCTCTTATTTTGAAAAGTAAAAGAGGAAGTAGTGACGGCATTGTGTAAGGAGGTTGCTGACGGGAAGTGTAGTTTTTTTTCTGATGGTGGTCATAATACGACGAATATATTTAGCCTGTTGCAAATGGTTGTTTAAGAGTTTGATTCTTGGGCTCAAATATTGTGATAAAGATAATTTAATATATGTAAATATTTTTACACTGTTTTATAACCCAACCTTACGCTAACAAACGATGTTAATCAACAGTTCAATATTACTGTATACTGTAAATTCTGAAAACCTGTGACACAGGATGTATGATAGGAAATACTATGGAGAACCATTTCATGTATGCAGATGATCTTGTGGTCCTTAATGTGGTGATCAGTGATGGGCCCGTATTCAAAAACTTTCTTAGAATCCTCTCAGAGAGCTCCTAACTAGCTTAAAAAAAAAACCTTGCAAGTATTTATAGCTTAAGAGTGATTTAGGAAAGTTTTCAGAGCAACTCTGAGCAAGGAAGAGACAGTAGAAACTTTCAAATTTTTTCAGAAGCTGTATTGGTTAATCTAAAAAAAATTGAAGTCGTATAGAATAATAGTCAGACATTTGTGTAATTATGAACACTATGAAATTAGTATCTGTGTAATAATATAGGCTACTTTAAAAGTATACAGCCTACAAGATGTTTGAAATAACATGTCCACTTGTGCAGCAGCTTCTTGACCTGCTGATCGTTACATCAGCAGGTGAAGAGCCTTAATTAGTGATTGGATGCACCTGTGGAGGTAACACCATGTAGAGAAGCTCAACATGCATTTCTCACTTTGAACTGCATAAAGTCAAAGATGGATTGAAATGTGTGCATAAATAATTTTTGTCTGTTGGGCCCAACTATGATTCAAAAATACTCTTCATGTAGTGTTTGATAAACATTTCCCTGTTTTATCCTCAGTTTGAGGAAGTCTTAAGCCTGTTAGAAGTCCTCCTCACATTGTTACACCTTAGGAGCTCTCTGAAGGGCTGCGATGCTTTGTGATTAACTCTCATTTTAAAAGGATCTAGTCTGAACTTTGAGGGCAAATTCTTAGAAAATGTCCTGATTCTAGAATTTTGTCACTAGGGGCAACTCTTTGGAGGCTTCGTGAATACGGCCCCAGCACACTTTCAATCCAAGATATGGAAACTCTGTTGAAGTTGTAGGCTATCGTCAGAGGGCAATATTTTATACCATACCTTACCATTTATGTTGCATGTTTGTATACTTTGTAATTTATGTATTGTCTTATCTGGATCCTGTGTCTATAATAAAGTTTTGATAGATTTTTGTCTGGTGCTCATGATGGATTAATGTTGGGTATTTGTAAATAATGTGATAAAGAGTAAGGTATTCCTTCTCTTCTGTAATATAATATAACAAAGAGTAAGGTATTTTATCTGCTCTTTTGTAAAGTGTCTTAAGATAACATTTGTAATGAATTGGCGCTATACACATAAAGATTAATTGATTATTGGTTAATTAACCAAACCTACCTACAACTACTCACACCTGTGTCCAGTTAATCAGAAAAGGTAAGAGGGAAAACATAGCTCCAGTTTCAATGTTCTTTAGTGACTTGTTGTTCTCAGACTGGTTCAGTTGTTTGGTTTGTTGCTTTACTGGTTGTAAACAGTGGCTGAAGCCATGGGGTCTCTATTGAGGTAAGTTTAAAAAAAAAAAAACCTTCCTATTGATTGTTAAACTCAAATTGTATTATAACTTGTTGATGTCTTGTCTAGATGGTTGCTGTTTTCCTTGCTAGCTGTGGGATGCCAAGCAATTTGTAAGTTCAGTCTATATCTGAAGCCTTTGATTAGTTATACATTTGCTAAAATATTTGCGCTCCAGCTTTCAGGACTGGATCTACTCAGAAGTATGGAGAAGGTGATGGTGTCACTACGGGTTATCAACCAGATTCAAACAGCTTTACCACTGGGGATGATTCTTCATGGAGCATAGGGGCACTTGGTGGTTATGATTCAACCTCAAATACTAAATTGGCAAGTACTTGCAACATACATTTTCCAGGATGCTATATCAATTCTGAAACAACAACGAATAAAATTTGTCTGAGTCAAGTGTTCCTTTGCCTTCCTGCACCATAGCTTGAGCAGTCTGCTTATCAGCTAAAGCAACTTCAAGGATCTAGCTTCAAGGAACAGGAGGATGAACAATTGCAATTGCCCCAGCAGTCAATGAAGGAGGCTCCCCAAAAGTCTCAGCACATGTCCCAGCAGCCTAGCTTTTCACCTGAGCTGCAGCCACAGGTTCCACCAAAGCAGCAGCAGATGCCGCCGAAGCAAATTGCTCAGATGCCCCAGCAGCCCAGCTTTCCACCCAAGCAGCAGCAGCAGCAGCAGCAGCAGCAGCAGCTGCCTCAGATGCCTGAGCAGCCTGCTCATTTGCCCCAGCAGTCCAGCTTTCCTTCCAAGCAACAGCAGCAGCTGCCTCAGAAGCCCAGCTTGCCACTGATGCAGCAGATGACTCAGCAGCCTAGCTTTCCATCCAAAGAGCAGCAGCTTGCACAGGTGCCCCAGCAGCAACCCAACTTTCCACCCAAGCAACAGCAGCAGATTGCTCAGATGCCCCAACATCAGCCCAGCTTTACATCCAAGCAAGAGCAGCAGATGCCCCAGCAGCCCAGTTTTCCGCCCCAGCAGCCCAGTTTTCTGCCAAAGCAGCAGCTTGCACAGATGCCCCAGCAGCCCAGCTTTCAATCTAAGCAAGAGCAGCAGATGCCCCAGCAGCCCAGTTTTCTGCCCAAGCAGCAGCTTGCACAGATGCCCCAGCAGCCCAGTTTTCTGCCCAAGCAGCAGCTTGCACAGATGCCCCAGCAGCCCAGTTTTCCACCCCAGCAGCAACTTGCACAGATGCCCCAGCAGCCCAGTTTTCCACCCCAGCAGCAACTTGCACAGATGCCTCAGCAGCCCAACTGTCCACCCAAGCAGCAGCAGCAGCAGCAGCAGCAGCAGCAGCTTGCACAGATGCCCCAGCAGCCCAGCTTTCCACCCCAGCAGCAGCTGGCAAAGATGCCCCAGCAGCACAGTTTTCCACCCCAGCAGCACAGTTTTCAACCCCTGCAGCAGCTTGCACAGATGCCCCAGCAGCCCAGCTTTCCATCCAAGCAACAACTTGCACAGATGCCCCAGCAGCCCAGCTTTCCACCCCAGCAGCAACTTGCACAGATGCCTCAGCAGCCCAGCTTTCCACCCAGGAAACAGCAGCATCTCCCTCAGATGCCTAACTATCAACTGAAGCAACAGCAGCAGATGCCTCAGCAGCCCAACTGTCCACCCAAGCAGCAGCAGCAGCAGCAGCAGCAGCAGCAGCAGCAGCAGCAGCAGCTTGCACAGATGCCCCAGCAGCCCAGCTTTCCACCCCAGCAGCAGCTGGCAAAGATGCCCCAGCAGCCCAGTTTTCCACCCCAGCAGCAGCTTGCACAGATGCCCAGTTTTCCACCCCAGCAGCAACTTGCACAGATGCCTCAGCAGCCCAACTGTCCACCCAAGCAGCAGCAGCAGCAGCTTGCTCAGATGCCCCAGCAGCCCAACTATCAACCAAAGCAGCAGCAGCAGCAGCAGCAGCTTGCTCAGATGCCCCAGCAGCCCAACTATCAACCAAAGCAGCAGCAGCAGCAGCAGCAGCAGCTTGCTCAGATGCCCCAGCAGCCCAACTATCAACCAAAGCAACAGCAGCAGCTGCCTCAGCAGCCCAGCTTTCCACCCAAGCAACCGCAGCATCAGATGATGCCCCAGCAGCCTAGCTTTCCATCTAAGCAGCAGGAGCTTGCACAGATGCCTAACTTGCCACCTAAGCGACAGCAACTGCTGCCTCAGATACCTCAACATCCCAGCTTTCCACCCAAGCAACAGCTGCATCAGATGATGCCCCAGCAGCCCAGCTTTCAACCCAATCAACAGCAGCTTGGCTACCAAGAGCCCCTAGTTCCTGAAAAAGCTTTCCTTCTACCCAAGCAGCATCGTCAAGTACCACAGAAGCCTAAATGGCTAAGCTTCCCACCCAAGCAGCAGCCACACTTCCATGGCAAGTGGGTTCCCCAGCAACCACGCTCTCCTGCCAAGTGGGTTCCCCAGCAATGACTATCAAGACATCATTCCACTAATTGATTCAAAGTGGTAAGCTATGACTTTATTATTATTTTTGGTCCAATTTACAGTATTAGTTATGAATATGGCCATCTTTACTTTCTTCGAGGTATTGAAGTAGTGTTTTCATAGGAAATGGAGAGACACAGGGCAAAGTTTCAAAGCACTTTGATTTAGTTTCTATTACTATCATTTGAAACTGCTTTGTGTTTCACTCAGACTTCATTAAACTGAACCATGTTTTGATTGTAAAATAAATATTACATTCTACATGTCTAGAAGTTTCTTGACAATTCTTTTTTTTTTTTTTTTCTTCAAAATGGATATCTAGCATGGTTCTATAGTTCTGTTCAATATTGCTAGTTAAATATCAGCTAAGGTTATACATGTATTTCTTAATATAGTTTAGGATCTGAAATAACCGTTTTCTAGCTTACTGTGGGCTTAAATTCCAGTTTACATGCGCTTAATTACGACAGAGGGTTAGGGCCATGTTAAAAATTATTATTATATTTTTTTAAATTTTAAGAATAAAGTCGTAAATTTACGAGACCAGCCTGCACAGAAAGGATGAAAGTCTTTTACTCTGCAGACACAACTTCCTCCAAGTCAGTGTTGTTCTTTCTTCAGAAAAGCCACAGTCTCTTGCTGTATCTTTTCAGGGTACTGATATTTTATGACAATGTGAATATGATGTGCCAAAAGCATGTGTAGATTCATATTTGCAAGTAAAGCCCAAACACAACTATTTTTGTCTGTTATCTGCACTTGTGTAAGTGTCTCATGGGCAGAGACAGTTTGTGTCCTGTTCATCATTTTACAGATAAACAAGGTCTTGCAAGTTGAAGTGAGAACTAACTGTTTTTACCGACTTCACAAGGAAGCAGCCTATTTCCTTATTAGTGAAATCTTTAGGACAAGATGCTCCATGTTTGTCATTTGAGAACAGGATGCTGCTGCTCTTCTGATATAGGCTAGACTATAATATGTATTCTTTAAAGACTTCTAAAGTTCTACCTTAATTTTTGTGCAGGCTAGCCTCGAACTTAAAGTCGTAAATTTACGAGTTTAATCTCGAAATTTAAAAAAATATAACATGGCCCTAATCCTCCGTATTTATCTAGAATCTGTAAAATAAATCTGAGGAAAAACACTGCCCTGCTAAATAAGTTGTACAACTGTTTGGAGTAAATGACCATGCAAAAGCCATTTTGGCTTTATTTTCAAAAAGTTAACCTGATATCCAAATATAACAGAAATATGCTATGCTAGATTTCTTAGACGAATTGTTGGAACAAACCGAAACTTTCGTTATTCTGCTACACATTTACTTGATAGATTCTTGCATGCCCAAACACCACAGCTCTGGACATCAGTCAGCACGCTGGCCGACGCTCACTCTTTAGTGGCATTCCTGAAAGGCAGCTGGGCTCCCTCCATCCCAGATCAAAACAAAGTGATGTTCAGATGACATAACATTAGATTTGTTTTCTTGCTGAAGGTGTGAACGTGACTGGTTTTGGCAGGAAGCTGCTCGCCCCTTTCCAGTACTGTGACTCACTCATTACTTTAGCATTTTGTCAAAATACATGGGATGGATGAATCTAAAAAGGGTAAATAAACAATATTAACTCCTGTATGCATGCAAACTTCCTGTCATTAGTGAGTGCCCCACTTGGGGCCACCCCAACCAAAAGTGTGGACATGCCACTGCCCTTTCAAAATTTCGTATTGGTCATCCTTATGTTGGTCCTTTCCTTGGGTTCTCTTGTCATCAAATTCCCACTCAAAAAAGCAGCTTGACTCCCTAAAGCTCCCACTTCCTTAACAGGCTCTCCCCCCCCCCCCCCCCCACAAGCAGCATCCTGAAATCCCACAGCAAAAGCTGCCCCAGGTACCCCAGAAGCCATTGTTCCCAGCCGACCAAAGGCCCCAGGTGTCTCAGCGGCCTGTTTTCATACCCTGGCAAAAGCCCCAATTGTCATGGAAGCCACAACAATAATCCTACGAACTTTGACCCAAGACATCGGTCCCCTAATGGTTTCAGATGGGTAAGATATAATTGCATTATATATATATATATTTTTTTTTGTACAATGGCCATCTTTACTTTCTTCCAGGTATTGAAGCAGTGGTTTCATAGGGAATGGATAGACACTGAACAAAGTGTGTCAAAGCATTTAGATTAAGTCACACTCATTTGAAACTGCGTTGTTTTAGGTCCTACACCACTGAAGCTGCTTTACTCAAGACCACATTCAACTGAACTATGTTTGTAAAATAAACACTACATTTCTACATGTCTAGATTGCAAATGACATTGATATTTACCAATGATTTAATGGTCCTGCTACATAAAGATCAGCTACTAAGGTTATAACGGTATTCATTTCTTGATATAGTTTTGGGTCTGAAATAACTAAGTGTTGGCTTACTGTGGTCTTACTATTCTTCGTCACATAGCTGTTATCTATTGAGGCTGTAAAATGAATCCAGGGATTTAAAAAATAAAATAAAATACTCCCACTATACCCTGCTAAATGAGTTTTACAACAATTTGAAGTAAATTAACATGCGAAATGAATTCAGGTATGTCTTCATATTTTTTTTTCCTGACCAGCATAACAGTCTCTGTTTAAACATAAATGTTGAATACCCTTGATATTCTCAAAAGTTGATCTCTGTCGAAGGTTGCAGGCATGTCTTCATTGTAGGTTGTGCAACTTGATTCCTAAACACGGCAGCCTTGTTAATACACGCAACAGAGTGAAAAAATCTGTATGTGGGGTTTAAAGATAAGAAAACACAGCCTACTTGGATAATGCTTTATTGAAATATTTGGCAGATAAATTAACATTTAACCCAGGAATGTTAGGAAATTTTTTTTTTTTTTTGAATTGTAAAAAGAGGGTTTATCTTTTTTTTTTAAATTACATCCTTTCTTTAATAATTCCTTCTTACCAAACTGTACCTGCAGACTATATTACATGCCACATCATCTCCATTAGAGGCAGCCCTGCTAAAGCCTGGACGTATGACACAACATCCGAAGAAGAATGGAAAAACTCAGCTTGTTGCGCTGATCGAGGCTTTAGCCAATCAGATCGTTACATATACCACTTGTGGGCGGGACCGGAAGTAGCTGTACAGCCCATAGACGCTTTCCAGGAGCTGTCAGATGAGACGGATAAAGCTCACTTTAAACACTTAAACTGTTTAAAAACGTGTGTGACTCGATATTTTTCAAAGTCAGAGAATACGCATTTGTTTGTCGAAGCTACATTTAGTGAATTAAAATCCTCTTAAGGTAAGAATTCATTCAACCGTTCCGTGGCTGGCTACTATGCTAATGCTAATATATAGATATGCAGCAACAACAATTCGCGACGGAGCTATGTAGTGCGAAAACGTCACATTTTCTCGCCATTGCTTGTTCATATGTGATACTTTTGGACGGCTAACTTGTGCATGTCGTCAGTTTTGATTGCCTTTGTGTCTCTGTGTCCTCCCAGTGGTCGTCATGGGCGAAGTGGAGCTGTCATGTCGAGCTTTTGTGAAGATGTACCTTCACTCCTGTTTGTTCCCGAGGTGCAGCATCAACGGGCTGCTGTTGTCGTCCTCATCGGCAGGTGGCGCTGTCTGTGTGACAGACTGTGTCCCGCTGCTGCACTCACACCTGTCCCTGGCTCCTATCACTCAGCTGGCCCTCACACAGGTAGAAGGACCGACAGTACACACTACTTTCTCTGCACTGCATAGAGAATACACCACTTATAGAGGTGTCTGAATTCTGATTGAGCATGATGATCATATACTCTACATGGTGGACGCACTGTTGTGGGATACAGTCACTATCTAAGCAATACCATCATGCACTTTGTGGCTCAAAGCTCCTTTATGAGTTTATAGAATAACTTTATTGATCCCAAACTGGGAAATTGTGGCGTTACAGCAGCAGGTTATCCAACACACATTATGAATAAAAAACACAATGTTAGCAATCTAAACACAAAATAATATTAACTACAAAGTAAATAAGCACTAAAAATATAAAAACTGAGAATGTGAATATATACAACCAGGATTTAACTAAACATTACTAGTCTTAAATAGGAAGATTAAATATGGAAGATTGAATGTGAATGTGCAAAAAACAGAGTTGTACTCGGTCTGTAGGGACTTGGGTTGGGAACCGGAGGGTCGCCGGTTGAAGTCCCAGTGCAGACCAAGTATGGATGTTGGTCTGGTAGCTGGAGAGGTGCCAGATCACCTCCCTGAGCACTGCCGAGGTGCCCTTGAGCAAGGCACCAAACCCCCTCACCACCATCAGCTCAGGAGTGCCCGCTGTGGGCCGCTCCGTCACTCTGACATCTCTCCATTAGTGCATGTCCATAGGATCCTGTTTGTGTGCGTGTGTGTGTATATATACTTCAGCCTATGTGTGTGTTGCATGACTACAGAGTGTAAAAACTGAAATTTCCCCTTGCGGGGATCAATAAAGTAAAATCTTCTTCTAAATGGACAGTGTTGACATAAGTTAAAGTCCATGAGTGTAGACATATTATAAGCAGAAACTTTACACTATAACTGCGAGTACACAGCCAAATGACGAGTTTGGACTAGTGGAGAGGCCAGCATGAACACGCAACATAGAAACACACAAGTTCATATTTGGACACTTTTCTAATAAAATGTAGAACCTAAGTAGTAGTGTTTGAAATGTTTTTCCAGTGCTAAATGAGTGCACTACATGGTAAAGTCCACTCTAGAGAACCCCTTATGTAGGGAGAAGGGAATGAGTGTTTGGTTTGTGACACAACCCATCTCTGTTATATCTCAGAACTCTTTGAGGATCTGTGTCTTGAAAGGTTGTCACAATGATAGAATTTTAAAACTTTTATATGACTCTAGTAAAAAATCTAACGAGATCAAACCTTGTTTAATATGAAAGTGACAAAAGTAGAAGTCCTCGTAGGCACCCTATCGTGTCATTTCTTGGTTTTTATTAACTTAAATGGCAAGGGAATTGTGTCGTTCTGTATTTACAGAAAATATCTGCAGTAGGGCTGCATCCCACAGTTATCTTGATCATTGATTAATCTTCAGTGTATTTTTACTGTTAATAGATGAATGTCTTAGTTTATATATTGTCAAGAAAAATGAGCCAGAGATGAAGTCTTCACATTTTTTCTTTTGTCTACAGCCCAAAACTGAAGTTATCAAAAAGCTTAAATGTAGCCTGAAAGTGGAGGTATATCAATGAGACAAATGCTGACAATCAAATGAGACGACTAATGAAAAATGTTTGATTCTCAATGGGGAAGTCATATCAAATTGTATTTTTGCACAGGGTACAACGGACAATAAAGATCTTGATTTCTTTTCTGTTAGCTTTAAAATCTGGCGGATTAAAAAAAATCTTGAAACCCTGTTGACTGAGTTATAAATGTCTAAACAAGAGGTTCATGTTTGCAGAAATTAATGCTCTTTATTACTGAATTTATTGTTAAACAATTATCAGATTGTGAACATTTAAATCCAGATTCTGTAGTAGAAAAAAAAGTACCCCCATATGCTGTTAGGGTTTGGAATATAAAAGGGGAATGGTGACCTTTTGACAGTTTTTAGCCAAAATAAAAAGCCATAAATGACTTCTCCCTCAATTTATGAAAACATTTAAATAATTTTCTCAAGACCAGACGGTAGGTTTTGTTTTGCATTAGGCGCTCAGGACTCCAACCAATATCTGCTCAAATATGAGCATAAACTAAACGGCAGAATTAACTTATAATTCACACTGAAGCAAACAGGACTTGGCCTGTAACAGCTACAAAGAAAGCTTGCCTGGTTTTGGCAGCTGCATCTGTGCTCCTGCTGGAAGAGATTACAATTTTGCATGTGAGTAGGTAAATGAAGTTTTAAATGAGAGCCTGTTTTCTTGTTCCAGGTGGATGTTTGGTGTTCACAGACTCAGCAGAGGATAGTGGGGTACTATCAAGCCAACGCCTGCGTATCGGACAGTAGGTGGGTTTCCTGGGATGCCCCTCCCAAACGTCTCTTCAAACCCATTCGATTAGACAACTCATTATGTTTAAAAAAAATAAAATAAAAATGCAATTTTGTGACATCAACCTTAAAACATTTTGTTTAATTCGTGTTCATGATTTGACCTCCACAGCCCGACATCATGTGCGATGAAGATAGCCGACAAGATTTCTGAGCAGTTTGACAACGCAGTTTTGTTAATGGTAAGAACAACTGAATCTACAGTGTTCCAACGCTGTCCTCAAGTGGTGAACAAACACAGTCATATTAATAACTGTGTCGGACTTGAATACTTGATACTCATTATTTATGCTTCTGAATAATGTGTAGTGGTGATTTGTCTTTGCTTTGCTCCACAGCTTGATGGCAGTAAAATGTCTCCAGATTGTCGGGTTCCTCCCATCGTGATGTACGAGCGCAAAGATTCCAGATGGACACTCAAGGACAAACACACGTAAGAGACGGCCATTTCTGTCAGGAGTGGAGCCTCTCAGAAGCTCTAGCTGTCAAAGAAGAAATCTCAGTTTTCTGTTTAAATCAGTGGTTCTCAACTGGTCCAGCCTCAGGACCCACCACCAACTCCCAAGAAATCCGATTTGTACAATGAAAAATTGTGCAGCTTGGACGTCGGACAGGACGAAACGTGACAGAACAGAGAAACGAAACAAACATGTCGAAAAAAAAAAAACGCTTCATAGACTTTTTGGCACAATATTTTTTTCTAGGCACAGATTAGCGACCCACTGAAAATGGCTCCGGGGACCCACTTTTGGGTCCCAACCTACCAGATGAGACATACAGGTTTAAATCACTGTTTTAACTGTAAAGGTTGTTTAGACCAATGATCTGTGAAACTTAGAACAGAGCAATAAGTGAGGTTTTTCCCAAGAAACAAAAACTACACTACGAAGAGTCATCTATAATTATCCATGATGCACGAAAGCACACACGAGCATGATTTCAGTCAGGAAACATTTTGTTGTTGCAATGATTGGATGGCTAGAATCTAAAACTGTTTTACAGTGTTTCAGTTATAATGATGCACAACAACATCTTCATTTACAGATTTGAAAATAACATGCAGCCTAATTAAACTCTTTTAATAAGGGTTAGGGTCTATAGCTCCAGAGCTGTTCTCAGGTTTCTACACTAATTATTGGTGATTCAGAATGGAAAGGTTTTTTTTTTTTTTTTTTTTCTAACATTAATCATAGTGAACAACATCCCACATGGTTTAAAACCACGAAAACAGATTCAGAGTGAAACACAGTTTTTCCATCGTGTCAGAAAAAACCCCGGTGGAATTTCTACAGTGAGGCCCAAAAACCAGAGAAACACCAAACAAGTATTTCTACTGTTGTCTTGGGACCTCTTTTATCCAATCATGAAACCAGCACAGGTGAAATAGTTTGATAAAGATTTTCACAATAAACTTGATTTTATGGAAAGACGGAGTCGATGAAGTTTGTAGCTCCATGTTCTGGAGCTAATTTCCTCCTTTTTTAATTAGCCGACCGTAACAAAAATCTCTCCTCATCTTCTCCCTCTCTTCAGGATAATGCTGCGGCAGTGGGAGGAGACCCGGGAGATAGCCAGCCAGATGCTGGAGTCGGGTGATCACACGCTGTTGGTGGATTTTGACAGCCACTTGAACGACATAACAAAGGACTGGACCAATCAGAAACTAAACAACAAGATAGCAGAGCTGGCCTCACCAGCTAACGGGAGCATGTAGAGTCTTAAGTAGCATCAGTTTGTACTAAATCCAGATTAATTTATGTTCTGACACGACATCATCATCCTGTTTTATTAATGATAACTTTTATAACCTCGTACAACCACACAGAGTTTAGGAATATGTTCACTTTAATGCATTGTGTTGACTGAACATGGACATACGACATGCATAAATAACAAAATATTTACAGTTTAATAAATGTCTGTCTTCCACCCCCCACCCCACCTCCCCCACAGTGTGCATTGTGGCTCAGCCCAACACCCTGTTGATTTACATGAAAATCCACCTTAAACACAATTTAACACTATTACAACCCACCTCTTGTATCTCTGGTCTGTTTTTCCTTCCATTTGCTGTATTATTGTTATAAATATGTACAGAACAAGCTTCATGGGGTTGGAGAAAATAACAACAACAAAAATAATACAAAAGTCCTGCAGTAGAAATGTCTTTGTTTTGTTGCTATCTTACAAAAAACACTTTAGTATTTTTTTTTAAAATTGGTAAAACATTTCTAAACAACACATTAACATAAAAAAAAGTTTTTTCTATGCAGAGGAAAGTGTTCATTATTGTTTTTGTTATCAACTAGAGCTCCTCCTGTGAGCATCGGAAAGTAAAACCTGTTTTTTTTTTTTTTTTTTTTTTTACAAGTTAATGACATGCAGCAAAGTGCCGATAATCCACGACTTCTGCAGTAAGGACTATCACCTTGTGTTAAAACAGGTTGTTCAATGAAAACAAAAAATCACAAAAGTGATTTAATGAGAAAATTTTAAAAGATTCAAATCAACTTCTGAAAAAGACACAAGGAACAAAAATCCAATAGAGAGGTTTTTGCTGAAAATTAAAATTGTGTATACTCCTCTGACAACCTCAACAGAAACAAATATTTAAAACATCAACAGATCATTTTAACTGCAGGACTTCAGTATTGAAATGAGATGTTCGTACTTCTGTTTGCTCCTTACACATCTAACATGGCTTAAAAGTAAAACATTTATAAATCGGTATTCGGGTCACAAGACGAATCCTAAGATGCAGAAGAATGACTTAAAGTGGATAAACTACTGTTGCATAGAATCTAAACACGAGTGTTCACACATTTTTAAATGCATATTGTACGAGTTTAACAAAGACAAAACTACTATCTCTGACTACTTTAGAGTTGGATGAGTAGATTAACAGGTTTGACATGTAGAAAAACGTGAAAAATAACTGCTAACTACAGCTACTCAAAGCTCTATTTAGGGTTTTAGGATCCTTGTATCGATATTGATTATTCAACAGGACAACATGCACCAGAGTAAATCAGAAACACATTAATCAGTGCAAGAAGCTATGGTTCTCAACCTTTTACTCTTGTTTTCTTTTAAGACAAACCGATGTGACTTGTTTCTGATCACAGATGTAAGGATTGAAACCAGCTCAACCATTTCTCTTTGTTTTAGTGATATTCACTTTAAAAGGAATAAAACCTCTAAAATTATCCAGCAAGTCACAGAGGCGAAGAGGGGATTTTATAACAAGTACGTATTGGACAGCTCTCCTGCCCACCACTGAAGAAAACTTGTGACCTTTTATCGGGGGTCTCGACCCACAGGTTGGGAAGCACTGGCTCTAATAGAAAGCAGACATGTAGCCATGATTTCAGAACATCCAGAAACCTGAGCTGCTTCTACCGATTAGTTTCTAAATCCAATCAGAGAACCACAAAATAAAAAAGTTCATTCTTTCCCTTGTTTTTCTCGACTGAGGAAATATAACAGATCATCTCATTTGAGAAGCTTGAACTGGAGAGGTGGTGGCGATAGGGTTGGCACAACACCAGACTTTTAAACTTACATGATTTTTAGTAGAAATCAACTGACATAGATACCTATTTCAATACTACAGCAACAAAAACACAAATCCTATCACCTAAAATAACTGATCATTTCCTGTATTTAACCACCCAAATAAAAGGAGGCAGACTCCTGCACAGTCTCTAAATTGCACAAATATGTTGGCAACATCTCTCTCGCTCAAATATACAACAGAAGATGTGTAGTTTTTTTGTCAAATCTTTGGTACTTTGCGCCGTGGATCATTAATGGATTATTAATAACGGAGATTGTATCGTGGTATTGAAAAGTTTTTGTGCATTTTCTGTAAGAAATTACAGAATCAAGTATCAAAACATTTGCTGAAATTGTCAACTGACAAATGGTGGCAGCTCTAGAGATGACATTCAGTGTCGATTTAAATTTTAGTGTTTTCAGAACGATGAATCATTTCAAAATTGCTAAAGTCAAACCCAAGAAGTGTGTTTGGCAACTACTTCGGTTTGCTGTTTGGTTACATTACAAACTATCTGTTAGGACTGAGCCATATGAACACGAATGAGTTAACTAGAGGCTTTAACTCGACGTCCGTGATATCTGCCGCTCTGATTTCAGCGCTCTTTGTTCATGTTTCCTACTTTTAGACCATGTTTAATTTATCCACTGTCAGCCCTTTACAAACTATTTTTGTACATTTGGCTTTCAAAGTGGTGTGGAAAAGTCTCTTATTTGAAAAAACAAAACAAAAACCCCTCTCGCGGTGGACAAAGTGCTCAGACAGACCCGCAGGCGATGGTCTCGGGTGTCGGCGAGGGTAGAGGAACGAGGTTCAGAGTTACTTCACCCACTGGAGACTGATTGGCCAGAGACTGGAGGATGCTGATGGAGTCAAAGATGGACTGAGCGTTCTGGACCTGCTGCTCGGCCCACGGGAACGAGATCTGCAGGGGACGTAAAGGTGTTATTATGTTCAATCACTTAGTAGCTTCTTTAAAGGCTCTTACAGCACTTTGCCTGTAAGACACTTTGTCACTGATTATTTGAGAGCAAAACAGGAATGTTCGCTACACCATTTGCAAAATCAATACTGCACATACTATTCCAAATAACTTTCAGAAACCAAGAACCCACAGTGCTGTGAGGTTGTCAAAATGTTTAGATCACGGTCATTCTGTGTTATCTGCAATATGAAGCTGTGAGTTAACTAAAGAGCGCTAACACATGCTTCTTTTATAATCAATAAAATCTTGTTATTGCAATGAACGATGGATTCTAACTGTAGGGAATCTTGAAATAATCAAAGAACTTTAGTCATATTTATAACCAAAGGCAGCCTCGAGTGAAAGAGAGAGGACTGTCTATAATACAAAAATTAATAAAGCAAATATATATGTGCAGTTTAAACCGTGTGCAACAGTTTGTCTGCTACTTTTGCTGACTGAAAATAAGAAATGACCCAAAATGTTCTTTTATTTTTGTTTCTGAAGTATCTTAGCAGGTATCAACACCGCTAGAATCGTATTCGACGCTCAAAAATCTGGTATCGTGATGACCCTCATTTAAATGAGACATTTCAAAAATCAAAACAAAAACAATTTGTATTACTACACCACAATATGCGACTTCACTTCTTCATAAAGCATGTGAAGACGTTTTTCTACAGAGAGGATTTTGCAGCACATTCACCTGAACAATGATGAGTTTTGTGGACGGGTCTTCAGTGTTGTTCAGCTCTTCTCCAAAACAAAGAGTGACACCGCACTGAGGAGGCTCGCCGCTGTTTAAACGAAAGTTGTCCAGTTCTGATTGTGAAGGGAAACAGTTAAACACACCGTCACTTTTCACATTATAGACGCTTTGTTTTCAGCCTTGTATCATTGTCAAACAAACATTAAGTTTCTGAAGTGATTTGTCCAAACAATGCAAGAAATCTAACAAAATGGCCATAACAAGGTCAAACTTAAGGTTGACAGATTCCTTTTTTAAACGTTACAAACAGTCCAGTTGTTTGTAGTTTGTAATCATTCATGACAAACAAAAACACTCACGCTGCTTGAACACGTCTTTACTGAAGAGCAGAACCGGCGACATGTTTCTTTCCATCTTGTGCAGCCCCGTCATGGTCGTGTGCGGCCCCGTCCAGAAGACCCGCCCCTGACAGAAGCGTTTCCCGTACACCCCCTGCGGCGTGGAGGTCAGCAGCACCCCTTTCTCCATAAAGGGTAGCAGGGTGAACAGGGCCTGCAGCTCCGGGCGGGCCTGCAGTGATTGAGGAGGCTCCGGCAGAGGGATGCGTGGAAACCTGCTTTTCATGATGGCCGGTGTCGGGGGGGCAGGAGAGGAGGGCAGGTACATAATCCTGGCATCAGAGCCCTGGATCTGATGTTGGAGCACCTCCTGTCCTAAATAATAAACCTGCACTCTGAAGGAGTCCTGGACTGGAGACACAAACACAGAGTAGAGACCAATTGGTTAGTGGGCGTGCCCCATGTACAGAGGCCATTGTCCTTTGTGTGGCAGTTTTCTATTTTTACACGGACACCAAAACATTCTTTGTACTGAACAAGTTGCACAGTTCAAAACATCTCTTTCAGCATGACGTTGATTTTCTGCTATCAAAGCTGAAAAGATCCGACTGAGAACTCTTAATCTTTTTAGACCAAACAGGTGTTGAGTTTTTTTTTTTTCTGTGTGAAACTACATTATTATTTGCAACATGTGTTTCCCCTTTCTTCTCAGCATAATGATAAATGGTTTTAATAATATAATTTTAGCAAGTGTATTCGTCTAATCTCTAGTAAAAAAAATATCTCAATACACTTAATAAAAGCCACATTCACACATCTTATTTAGAGACATTCAAAGCACGGATTAGGCCTGAAGTGTTGTAATGAGTAAAAATATCTGTAAATAACACAAGCAAATATTTACTGGTTGCATTTGATGAGCTTTCTGCATTAGCAGTCCTTTATTACTCATTAAAGTCTTTTTTTTTTTTCACATGTTAGGGAATTTAGGAATTCAATCACACTAAAATGTATTTTCTTCTTATGATAATACTTTATTCTTATAACGTTTGGGATTGCCACCTCTGTTGGTTCAAGGCTATAATCAGATGATACATTTTAAAAATCAAAACAAAAAGTGATGTAAAAACTGTAGTAATATTTAAAACAGTCAACCAAGCCTCCCAACTCAACCAGAGACGGTTTGGAAACACTGCAGCGTTTCTGAGGGACTGCAGTTAAAACTCAAAAATAAAGACCTGTTATATACAGTCTAATTCTCATGTTTTCTTGGGTCATACCTCCTGTTGGAGCGGAGACGCTCTCCTCGATCCTCACATCTAACGTGATCTCTTCATCCACTGCAGACAGATGGAAATAAAAAAAGGTGATAAATGTTCAGTCAGGTGTTCAGCCAGGTGTTAGCTGTCACAGTCAATTCTCTCTGCACTAAAACCTCAAACCCACACTTTGCTTTGTTTGCACCAGGACACATTCATATGAACTGAAGCAACCAATGGAGCAGCTCGGTGTTTATATCAGATTGTGATTTGTCTGACTGTGAGTTTCACTTTCAGTCAGAGAGACAGAAAGTAATGTTGCAACATGATATCTGCAACTAGTAGGTGAACAATTTACTCAGGCGTTTATTTCAGGTTCCTGGTTTATTCAGTTTAGTTCAGGAGGTTTATTGACTCAGGGCAGACATATCAGACTGTCTCCTTGAATTGACTGACTCCATTATCAGTACCCTCCGATGCGGCTGCTGAAACTCACTGTTTCTCTGTATGGTTATGGTCGTGTGCTGGGTGGGTTCGTCTGTCAGGATGCAGATGTCGCCGTGCAGCAGAGACTCGTCAACACACTGAGGATCAGAATGTTTACAGAAGATTAACATATTTCCGGCCCTGACAGATTACAATCAACAGTCTGTTAGGAACAGAAACCAAGTCAGATTTTTTCATTTTCAGATTTTTTTGTCTCACTAGTCTGATGATGTTTCGTTAAATTCCACGTGCAGGTCATATTCAGATTCACTTAGTCACAGTTTTTATTTGACTTCTTATCTGTACAAGCTACATTTACAACTCGATGCTGAAGAAATGGTGCCTGAGAGGAAGAGGTTATAACAAAAGTTATGTATACGAATATGAGGGCTTTATAACAGAGCAACACATTAGTGCCATTACATTTTCACCTCTAAATGTATTTTTTTACTTTCTGCCGATACTGTTTTTCCCACATTGTACAAGAAATAATGGAAATAACTTGAATGGTGATAAAACAACAAAACAACCTCTAAAATGTCAGATTTGACGGTGAATTCAGCCGAAGTATTGTCTCACTTCTTCTAACTTTAAAGTGGTGGTGTAAAACAAAATAAATCATTTTTAATAAGTGTGAAATGAGCATTAACTGACTTTGAATTAGTGCTTTTATTGTTGCTGTATTGCATCAAATAATTCACTTTTTGTTGTGGACAAATCAGATTCATTTTTCTTGCTCTGTGCTGCTCACATTTTCATTTAGGCTTCATACTTTTCGCAGCGTTAAACTCACCAGCTGTGAGGTGACCTCCTCCGTCTTTATCTGCTTGATCTGTCCGCCGTCATCGCTGTCAGATTCACTGCTGCTGCTGCTGCTGCTGCTCCTCCTCCTCCTACTCCTCCTCTTCGGCCTCTTGCTGGCTTTAACTTTAACTTTGCATTTCTTTTCAGGAACCACCACACCTGAAAGCACAAAGAAAAGGAACCTCATAAAACATCTGACTTGTCAGGGTTAAAGTTCTCGTCCCAGTTATTACAGTGATGTTGTTCTGAACTCGATGCTCCCTGCAGACTTTGCAAACAGAAACATGGTGCGTGATCTGTTATAGGTGGTGAACAAGGTATGACAACAAGCAATGTTTATTTTGAGTATCTCTGTGTACTGTATCTCTAAAAGAAAATAAACTTTCACTTTAAACAGCTGTCATGGATGTTTTGATCCTCCAATAGATTGGCAGAAAGCTATCAAAACATTAAAATAAATAAACACCAGGCGACTATAAGAATGTTCTTTGGTCATTTCTGGTTGGGTCAGCAGGAACAGTAAGGTGTGTTATTTGTGTAGCGGCTTTACACACAAAACTGTCTTATGTAAACTCAATAAAACAGCATTTAAAGGCACCACAGAGTGCAGGTAGAGGAAGCTACTCACATTTGATAGAAAGTGACCAACATGCAGAAAATACATTTAATCAAACATGTCTATAAATCTAGTCGTGATGATTCTAAATGCAGAAAAACAATGAGAGCAAAGAGTAAAGCTTGTAGAAATCATGCAGCTGATATCAGTCAGACTGAAGGTCAGCTGAGATTTGCCATCATAGGTGTTTAGTTGATTCTTCAAATGAGGAAAAACACTGGACTTAAGTACACCGATGACCTGGAAAAACACGACAGGCATGAGAGAAACAAAGCCGAGAAGGAGCAGGCTTTATTCATGAAGCTGTAAGAGAAAGACAAACACTTAAGAAAGAGATCAAAATGAAAAAAAAAAAAAAGGTGAGGGAGAAGACGGGGAGGAAAGTTCACTGTGGGTTTGTGACGTCATGTTGTGTAACATGTAATCGTGCCAGGCCTGAGGGTGTGTGTGTGTGTTTAAGTGCTAATAACTTGAAGATAATATTTGAAGTAACAGATTTAAACTCAAGTGGTAGAAATGTTACTTGAAGCCCTTTTTTTTTTCCTGCCGCTCAGCTGCAGTGACAAACCTTTTTCTCATTAACTGTAAACCTGATCAGAGCTGACACTGACCCATAATCCCTCAGCCTTCATAAACAATACGTGTGTTATTTTTCTCTCAGAAACATTTTGCGTTTATGGGGGGAAAAAAGTCAATTCTCTGGAGAGCATCTTTAAATTGTCTTGTTTTGTCTGACTAACAGTCAAAACACCAAAAAGTTCTCTCTCTGTGATGTTGTCTGAGCCGTATTTATATCGTGTTTACATGGACGGGGCGGTCGCCAGCTTATCCCCTTGCGTATAAAAGCTGTTTGAATGAGGGACCTAAGAAAAGAAGAATAACAGCCTACTCACGGCTTGTTTGTGTTTTTAGATCATGGTCATTTTGTGACAATTTACCGGTACATGTGAAGCTACGAGCAAACTAAAGAGTGCTACCATTAGCCTGCTAACACATTTACTAACTGAAAAAACAAACCCCAACCTAAACAACTTGTTATTCCCATAAATTAATTTTCTTTTCTCATAAATGTGTGACTTTAATGAAAGAGAATGACTACATCATATGCAAACTTATGATTTTATAATCCCATCAAATATTTAATGTTTACATGTGTTAAAGTATCTCTTCCCCTCTATCCCCTTATTATTTATTTATATTATTTGGTAAAATATCAACACGCTTATATATATTTTTCTGTTCTTGTGAACAATTCCCAGCCAACTTTAAAACAGCAATTAGAAGTTTGTTTCATGAATGTTAAAACAACACAATAAAAATTATTTTTCTCATAATTTCATCTTCAATGTAACGTCAGAGAACATAAAGAAAATCCAAACAAACTGTAATTAAAACTGTCACTTTGAGGTTTGTCTCATGAATTAGAATTAAAAGTGGATGAATAAACACTTTAATTATTTGGTTGCCATGTGAGCGACGTAGGAATCGACGTAGGAATCGACGTAGGAATCGACGTAGGAATCGACGTAGGAATCGACGTAGGAATCGTCAGTTGTTGTAGCTGAAGCGGGCATTAGAACTTTTTTAATCCGCTGGACAACAAGTTGAGTCATTTTATAAAACGCAGTGAGGATTGTATCTTTTTTTTTTGGCATACATATTACATTTTGAGTCGCCTTGTCGCTGCTGATAAACAGAATAATTCAGCGGGCAGGCCTGTGTCCTCATCCTCACAGATAAAAAAAAAAAACCCAGCAAAGCAGCCGCCTTTTATCCGTCCTTAAAAAAACACAGGATGTCAAGGAAACATGTGCTGAGTGTGGCATATTTAGACAGGGGAAGATCAAGGAAGGATAACTCTCCAAATATGAAGAGAAAGAATGAAAACACGGTGTGAATATTGACTTGTGACATCTATGAATGTGTTTAACACCAAACTCATCATGAGACCACAGAGTGAACTCGATGAGTGTTCAGGTTAACACGGTGTGAAACGAGTGGGTTCAACTAAAGTATTTTCTACCTGAGCCCAAGAGGTGATGATTGACGATGATTATATTTTGCACACTTTGTTTATTGAGTTTATTGAATCTGAGTTTATTAGTGATGGACGGCCAACAAGCTGTGACGTCGTGTTTTGGGTGACAGTCACAGCGGTGAGTCTGTTTGGATCTGATACACACAACAAACCATCTTTATTCACCACATGCAAAACCATTCAGTGCCTGGAGACTTTTGTGAGCTTAATTTCCATCCCTGAGGGGCAGGTAGTCGGCCATATTTAAATCTAACTAGTGTGTGTGTGTGTGTGTGTGTGTGTTTACGGCTGTGTGTGCGTGTGTTTAGTAGATGTGTGAGCGCTCACCCTGCTCGCTGAGGGGGACCAGGCGGTAAACCTTGTACGGCTCTGAGATGTCCAGCTGAGCTCGCTCCCCGACCTCCTCAAACTCTGGACTCTTGTTGAGGGCGCAGCGGAGGCGGGTCTTCCAGAACGCCGGGTTGTCTTTCCCCCCTTCGGCCAGCTTACCTTTAAACTCCGCCCACGCCTGAGGAGGACAAAGGTGTTCGGTCAGGAGGGATTTTGCACAAAATGTGCAGCGGTTTCATTCTGTTTTCTTGGCGATTTGAAAGTGTTGTGTTTTGAAAATCGGATAAGGAAGTGTAAAGACCTTAAAGATGGCGGCATCCTCGTCTTTACGGAAGTCCTGTTTCCCGGCGTGTTTCCAAGGGATGCGAAACATGGTTTTGGCGTCGTCATCCCACACCAGCCCTGGGTATTTTCCACTGCTGACCTGCAGCAGCCGGAAAAGAAAAAACACAACCACAACCACATTGTTTATCAGAAACCTTAAGTTCTGTAACCTCTGTCCGTAGACCGTGTGGTCACATGAATCCATAGCGATGTTAACCCTGAGTTTTACCTCGCAGGCTACAACATTAGGCCAAAGAAAAGTGTAATACCTGCAGACACTAATCAGAGCTGACAGAAAAAATCTCCTGATCTGCGTGTGTTTTGGGGAATAAAATGATTAGTTTAGTTTTAAATTTGATGATAGAAACTAATAATCCATCATTTTGAATCTGCTTTTTAAATTCTACTCATAGATCTGAGTTTTTACAACCTTTCCTTTCTAACTCTTAACCTTTTCTTTTATAACAGGATACAGCAAGTTAACACATAAAAACAAGAAGATTTTCATTATAAATGATACATTTCAGACCGTTAGCCTTGTATTGTACTTATAGGCAGGTGTGAAATGTACAAAGTGTCATTACTCAAGTTTTAGAGTACTTGTAATGATTTAGTTACAGGTATTTTAAATTCTAACTTTTCATGGTTCCAGCTTCTAGATTGGAAAATTTGCTGCTTTTCCATTAAATTATTATTACAATTTTTATTACATGTCTATTTGTTTTTGGCTTTGACTTTATGAGTTTTTATGTTTGAGCCCTTTGTCTTTAAGTAGGGGTCATACAGAGATGAAATGCTTGCCATGATCAGTGTAAAGTTTGAGCACAACATCCCTTACCAGTTACCGTTACCACCGCCTCGCTGCAGAAGGTCAAATATTTCTTTCTAAATGCACATAGCTATCACCACCCGTGTGTGTGAAGTGAATGTTGCCCTGAGGTTGATTTGCATTAAAATGGCCTAATTTTGCCACAAATACAGAAACAGCATATTTTGCTTTGAAATGAAGTTTCAGATGCAAATAAACCTTTGCATGTGTTTTGTGAATTTCCAGTGTGTTTTTTTTGTCTCATTTGCACAGGTTTCTCAGGTCACAGTCCTTCAACTTTTGATGTGGGTTGGATAAAAGAAACACTGTAAAGGTTGGTGTGACAATACCAGAATTTTAAGGTTCAATATAATTCTAGTAAAAATCAAACCATATCGCTTGCCTGTTCCGATACCATGGCAAAAAAAAATATTTTTTTGTTTTTAGTCAAGAAAAATGGAAAGTTATCTCCTCCACGTTTCCAATTTTTGCCTACGACTTCTATTTATTTAACTGTGTCATCCAGACAAACAGGTATCAGTCTGTTGTTTTTTACTAGTATGACAACCATACTTTTTAACACATGATAATACTTTCCTACTCTTAATTAAGGAACATTTTCAGTGCAAAGATTTATTATTTAAAGTTGGTTAAGTTAAACATGACCAGAGTCTGAATTATTTCTGTAGGATGTAAAAGTATTTGTTTTTCTAATCTCTCTGGAGTTCATTCATTTTCCGTTTTCCTTTCCTTCTCCCCCCCTCCCTTTCTGTTTTCCTCACCCCTTCTCTCGTTACCTCACTCACACACACACACACACACAAACACACAGGCAGACACGCACACACACACACGCACGAACAAACATACACACAGTTTAAAGACAGACACACACCTGCTCGACGATCCAGGAGCGCAGTCTGCGAGTGGAGCGCATTTTCCCTCCTGCCATGTCTCTATAAAGAACTTAAAACAGCACAGACACGGACAAAAAAACACAAACAAAAAACAACAAATCCACCATCAGATACTTGTCTCAATACGTCCCGCCCCTCATACACTTTGATACGCTTTCTTCACAATGAAAGGTGAATAAAAACCTCAATAACAGGCACATAAATACGTCAAACATGCAATTTGAACTTTTTCACATAAATTCAGTTGTAAGACTCGTGTGAACACGTTCAGCTCAACCCGGAACATCGTTACAAACACAAGCCATCATTTCTTAATTAAATCATGCAATTTTTTTTAATTTACTTTGGTTTAAAAACATAAATCAGCAGCTGCTCTCCTGGCGCTACAACCTGATGTAGGGATATTTTTAGGTTTATCAAAAATAGACGGTAAAGGTGTTAAATTAAGGAAGCGGATTTGAGTTTCGTTTACCTCAGTTGCGTTTCCTCCGTGGTGTTTGCTGACTCTAGTGTGTCTGTTCGGCTCTGAGCTGCAGACTAAGCAACAGAAGTCGCCCCTTTTCCCAGAAATCACGTGACTTTACAGAAACGGCCTGCGAGTCGGCCACCAGGGGGCGACAGCGGACAGAGACATTATTTAAACAAACACACCCAAAACACATTATTTTAAATCTATGTTCTCTTCCTTTTATCAAATGTCTTCACGTCACGTTTATCAAAATTAATTAAGTCATGTAAAAAAATATATTAATATTAAAATCAAGTTTGCAGCGTTAAATGTCAGTGGTAGAACCAAGTTTGCTGTTTTTTTTAATGTGTATGTGGGATAGATAGGTTTTTAGATTGTATACCTTGATTCATTTTTGATTCATCTTTGTTGTCTTGTGGATCTTAGCTTGATTTTGGATTGTTACTATTTATTTGACTTAATGCACTATTCTTTTGTGTGTGTATCTGTTGCCATTAGTAAATGTAGTACAACACAGAAATATTAAAACCACACTGAAAAATGTAAGCTGGATTGTAAGAAAAAATGGACGTTGGTTGCAAATATTACTGAAACGATAAATAATAGATAATTCAATGTATGCATTCATACATACATAAACATATACACACACAGATACATACACAACATGCATATATAAACATGTATGTACTCACACATACATACACTCTTACATACATAAATACAGACAAAAACAATTCATTTGTAGTGTATGAATGAAAGCTGGAGGATTTCAGAGAGAAAAGTGGATCTCTTTTAAGAAGCCTTTAAGTGTTTTAAAGGTAATATCCTCTGCAAAGTAAAAATACGAGTCGCAGCAGAGATTTTAAAATCAAATCTAAGACTTTTTAAGACCCAGACAAAGAAAAATGAGTGATCATTTAGTACCATGTATCATGAGTTTTCTGGATTCATGTGGGACTCAGCAGCTTTGATTCTCAATCTCCCAAATTAAAAGATTGAATTAAATATTTTGCAAGTTGCCTAATAACTGTGTTTGCCTCCGCCATCTATTCCCTGTGTTTCATCTTCAAACTGCTATAAAAGCCATGAATTATCACATAATCCATCAAATAAGGCTTTTTAAATTTTATTTAAAACCTTTTAAGACTTTTCAAAAAACCCTGAAAATCTAAAACTGTCAACTGGGATACAAAGCTTATTTCACGTTACATGACTAAAGTAGAGTTTGATGTAAAAATAGCAATAATTCAAATGAAAAAGATTAATAAAAGAAGCACTAGTGTCTTATTTTTTAGTGCATTATTTTGTTCTATTTCTATTAAAATTTTAAAATCAGAAATGAGACATAAAGGACTACCAAGACTTAAGAAGTTTTTTATTTATAGATTTTGTCTCCGCAAGTTCATGAATAAATCAACTTTTCAAAAACATTTTTTTATTGCCTTTGATTTGTTCATCATATGTAAACCACAATCAATCAGAAACCGAGACAGCAGCGAATGAACTCAATGTTTGACAAAATATTTACCCCAATAAAGGTTTTTGATTTATATATGATTTATTATTATATATATATATTATTCTGCCCACATAGCTTTATTCACAGATGAATCATTTCAACACACATTTTTGCTTTCAAGAGAATAAAAAATCAATAAACCTTTGTTTTTGTGCAGCATCAAATGTAATCCAAAATAAAAGTTAATTAAGAGAGTTTATGATTCATTGAGATGTGAAGACAAATGGAGAACAAGTTCTAAAGTTAAAAAAAGAAGAGACGAAACTCAAACACGATCAGGAGGACGTGTTCTGACAGATTCATTCTGTCGATATACGTCTATCATAACGTTGAATAAATACAGATCCAAAGCCGCTGTATTAGTTTCTTCATCTTGTCACTCAGCTGTCGGGGTCAGGAGTTTAGTCAGTTCTGTTCATGTTTTTAATGAATGTCCAGCTTTATTCGACGTCCGATGATTGTTCTTCAGGCAGAATTCTTGTTTGGTTCCGGGGAACTTTTTCTCCAAGAGGAACCTCCATCAGTTTCTGTGAGAGTGACAAACACAGAAAAGTTCTTTAAACTAAATCTTACTGTTGATGCTTCACATTATGCTCTGCAAATTTAAAGTGTTATTTTTCAATACTTCCAGAAGGAAAAAGTACAGTGTCCTTTTTTTGGGGTTTATTTGGCCGGGACAGATGCAGTGTTCACAGAGAAAAGAAAAATAACATACACTGTACATACATACACACACACACACACAAACATGGATTCCTAGAAACAAAACCCTGAGGTATCTCACCTTGAGCAGTCGAGCGTGGTAGACGTTTTCGTCCTCGTTCTCTCCTCTCTGATGGTCCACCTGGTGTCTGTCGCAGGCCCGGGTCAGCTCCTGGAGGTCGTAGAGCAGAGCCGGGTCCAGAGAGTGAGCGTTTATCAGACTCACCAAGTACTCCCTGTAGTGCTTCCTGCAGGGACAACATGACCGTAATAAGTAAAAAAACATCTGCCAGAGCAAATTTCCCTTGAGTGTCTTAAAATATGATACACTATCTTAATTAGTCAGTACATTATATTTCAAGACACTCAACAAGTAAAATGTGGCTAATATTTTTAACTGATCTGTTCTATCATCTCACTGTTATAGTAAATGTTGTAGCTGCTTTAAACTTAAATGACAAACTGATTTAAGGATATATTTCCACGTGTTCTCGGTTTTAAATCGGTAGATTGACTTCGAGGAGCATAGTGTTAGGAGACACTAGAGATTACAGCACACTTCACTGAAGCACGATAATTAAGTCAACAGATTTTTCAGCCTGTCTCCAAAACAACTGGCAGCACAAATGTAACCCACAGCCTCCAGAATGACCTAATAAATGAAGAATGTGCATTTTGTTTCCAGAGAGCGGCCTGACAGCAGACCTCCCTCAAAGAGGCAACAAGTCCAAAAGCACAAAGCAAGAATTTAGGATCCCCAGGAGAGAGCAGGGATATTTCCGTCTCTGCTTCAAAAAGATTAAACAGGAAAGTTTGCATTCTTTCAGTCTGATTGTTAACTCTGATTCAGCAAAGTGACTCAGTGCAATAAAACATCTGCAGGGTGGAAGAGTCAAGGCCTTCTGGGTAAATATGGTTCAGTTTTATTTAAAGACGATCGACCAGAATCAAACTACAGCTCAGTACAAAGCTTCTTTCTCCTTTGACTAGTAAAGACGTCATCATTTTGGTAGAGATGCTGCTTTTCAAGTTCCATGAAAACTCTAACACTGAGCCACAGCAGACTTGCTTTAATGTGATGTCTTCTTCTGATTGCTGATTGATTGAATGCTTTAGCTGTATTTATTGTTCTTCTCTTTTTAGAGCTTCCAGCCCCTCGTGAACCCCTCAACAGGAACTGTAAGAAACCAGTTTTAACTGGCTCTTGTTGTTGGCTCTCGGATAGTCAAGTTCTTAGAGGTTCAAAGATTCAAAATATCCACAGAGGGACGCTGCACTCTGCCGAAGTGCATTGTTATCGTGCTGACTGCTGACAATGGCTATATTTAAGGGAAGGTGAGGATCAAAACTGTTAATATATATTTTCAGAGAAAAACAGTACAGCTCAACACACACACACACACACACACACACACACACACACACACCTCAGAACTTCAAAGGAGAGCAGTGGTGTCATTAAATAATTACTATAAGAGCTGTTTCAGCTTGGAGGTATGGTGTCCTCTTTTGCTCTCTGTCTTCAATCAGATGATAAACACTGTTTTTTTAAAGTCAACAGAGTACGCTCTGTTTGTTCATTACTTTATTTTTATGCAGGGAAGCAGCTCATGAAACAATGTGCAGATATTCTATTGTATAGATCTGAGAGGACCCGGGGTGTTTTTGATTTATGAGATCATCACATCTGAGGGGACAGCCCTAAAACAGAGACACAGGTGTAGACGAGTTCATTAATAAATTATTTTTTTTGTCAGCAATGGAAACATATTCTGCATTCCTTTGCTCATTATTATTATTTTTCATGATAATTAGAATCAGAATAAAATTAAAAGAATAAAAAATGATTTACACACAAACTGTTACACATTAGTTGGCCTAAAAGAAACTGAATGAATTAACTCGTGATAAGATATAATTAGCAATCAGCAGTTTTTAACTAAATATTTGAGTTCAATTCTCCTTCACATCCATATCAGCTGATGTTTGACTTGAAACCTGTCTGTGTCCACAGCTCAGCTCAGACGACACTGTCACTGTGAAGTTTAAGGCTCAGGCGTTGGTTTACCAATGCATTGTTATCGTGCTGACTGCTGACAATGGCTATATTTAAGGGAAGGTGAGGATCAAAACTGTTAAAATATATTTTCAGAGAAAAACAGTACAGCTCAACACACACACACACACACACACACACACACACACACACACACACACACACACACACACACACACACACACACACACACACACACACACACACACACACACACACACACACACACACACACACACACACACACACACACACACACACACACACACACACACACACACACAGTAACTCACTCGCAGAGTCCGGCCTGTCCCGGCTGAGTTTGGGTTCCACACGGGGAATCAGTCTGCAGACCGTCGTCATCTTTCTGCTCCATCACACAGCATGTGACTGACACACAGACGAGGAAACAAAGTGAAAGATTCATCATTAGATTATTGAAAACAGTCAAAAAAAAAAACTTGTGGAAACTTCCAGATATATGGAAAGACAAAATGTTAAAAGAGGTTCAAGTGATCCTGAATTTAAATTTGAACTTCACAGATTGTGTTTATAAAATATTTCCGAACTTATTCCTGGATTTTCAGAATATGACATTTGAGATAAAAACATTTATAAAAGTCATGTTTCTGTTTCTTTGCTTCTTGAAATGGATGAAAACAGTCAGATAAGAAGAAAAGGATTTCTTCTTTTACCACTTTGAGCTCCGTCTGAAGGGTCTGTGTTGAACTCCACGCCACTCCTCTGAGGAGACAAACAGAACATATATAAACATCCAACAATATATTTATTCTTGCTCCGTCTATGTTTGTGTAAATATTGTAGCCCTGTCTTAGATGTGTAATAATTGGCAGGAGAAACTCTGGATAAAGTGAAAATGTTGTCTGTGTGTGTTCATGCATGCAGCTCATCCTGTCAACTTCAGCAGGCTTTGTGCAAGTTTGAAAGCACAACAATCAACAGATTGATCTGTTTGTCGGTTTCATCCCTCCCACCACAGGGAACACAGCTGACTTTACTTGACGTGTATAAAAACAGAAAAACAAAGAGTGTTTCCACCTGCAGAAGTTCCTGCAGCCTGGGCGGCTCCCAGTCTCTGAGATAGAACAGACAGTCTCTGGGGTGATGAGCATGCAGGCCGGAAAAATTGCACTGGGGAGTCCGACAAACAGTCTGTGAGAGCGAAGAAAACAAATAGAGGGAAAACACAGGAGAAGAGCATGTTACATTTTAATCAACTACATCCTCCCAGAAAATAATCTGTGTGCATCTTTGACCTACAAAAAGTGTGAAAACTGAAAAAACGAATGATTTCTCATTTTGCTGATATTTGTATTTGTGCCCTGTTAAAACCTGGATTATGTTCATTTTGAAACACACACTGTGAACATTCTCCTGAAGGTGAGCCACATGTTTCTCACCTTGTGGTAGGGATTGTTGCAGCCACTGCAGAACTGGTACCTGCACTGGGAGCAGGTGAAGTGCATGCAGCCGCCTTTGGTCAGAGCGTACTGGAACCTGCAGCCAGGACAGGCTGCAAGACGACAACAGATACAAGTTCATCTATTTGTTTCAGACAGTGAATACTTGAAAGAGTTCAGCTTTAAAGTGGTAGAAAGTTCAAGAATACTCTTAAAATGATTACTTCAATAAATGTATTAGTTATTTTCTAATGCTACCTAACACCACTGCCTTTGATAGATCTGCACAGTAGAGCTGCAACGGTTCATCAATCATAAGAATATTATAGAGAATAATATATAGAGAGAGTGGGGAATGACATGCAGGAAAGGAGCCACAGGTCGGACCTGAACCTGGCCCACCTGCCCCGAGGACTTCAGATGCACATGGGCCACATTAACTAACCACTATTTTACTAACGCCCAATCATTTATAATATTTTAATCATGGATGGATATGTATTGTTTTTTGTGTGTAAATATCACATCTTATGGTTTAAAATAAGGGGAATGAAGTGTGTTTAAGGATGACCTTATTAAGTTACTTAATAAGTTTGTTAACTTCATAACAAGAATAGAAAAAAAGCCTTAAATAAACATTTTGGTTTGAGAGCATGAACCTGCAGTTCTGCAGGTGCAGGTGCAGCTATGAAGGTAAGAAACTGAAATAAAACTTGTGTTTGTTGTTGTGAGTAAAGTTTCCGTGTCCTCACTGATGCCGTTGTCTCTCAGGAACCCGGCCAGGCCCTGCCGCTGATACTCGGGATCGTTCTCACGCTTCCACTGCTGGAACTGCTCACAGGACAGATCCTGATGCTGAGCCTCCCACTGACACCACAGAGGAGAGGAGGGTTAAAGGAGACAAACTCCTACACACATGGTTTCTTTAAAGAGCAGCCAAAGTTTCAAGGCTGAAACCTGAGATAAGTAAGTATTAAAAGTGATGGTCTTATACTCACAGGCTTCTTACACTGAGCGCAGAAACTCTTCTTGCAGGACAGACAGGTGACCTTCAGCTGGTCTTCTTCATTAATGAAGCCGCTGACGCACTGAGGGAGACACGGTCATGATGTACATTTAAAACCAACTTTAGAAACCAAAGCTTTTTTTCCCCTTGTGATTATGAATGTTATTCTAATTTCATCCTTTTTTTATTCTTGTTGCTGACTTCCTGCTGCTATAACTCTTTATCTTAAACTTTTTTTGATATTTTACCCTTTTTTTGAGCTTTAACTTATTTTGACCTTTTAATTGTTTTAATTACGTTTCTATATTGTTTTATTGTCTGCATTAGTCTCTCCTTCAAAATCCATTTGTGTTTGATCCATGTTTTGACATTATTTGACGCTTTTCCTTGTTTTTACAATTCTACCAAGATCAAAAATGTTCAACCCGAAAGACAAATCTATTTGACGCTGCATAACGAAAGCCAATCAGTGTTAAGATTTCCCGAACAGTCAAGAGGAGAACATCGTATTGAGAGCTGATACAGTGTCAGGGAATTAAACTTACGTGATAACACCAGAGGAACTTTGGGTCTTTCATCAGAGCCTGCTCCGTCAGCTTTTTATGAAACAGGTCGTACACAACTGGCTCCAAGCAGCCCCGCAGCTGCAAAATAATCAAACAAATAAACTTCATACCTGCATGCATGCACACCAAGAAATAAAACAAAGGAGAAAAACAACTATAATGTTAAATACATTAAACAGGGAACAGATTTTATGTTAACTAATAAAGGGACATAAATTCCCATTCTGCCATTTTAAATGACTCTAAATGATTTTATTTACTATAAAAAGAGAATATAAAGTTATATTTTGCATGCAGTCTTGTGCAGCAATATTAAGCTGGGGGTACACTGTACGATTTCGAGTGGTACGATTGATGGCATCGTCAGACGTGCAGTGAACACTGCTGCAGGGCGGCCGATGACGGCTCGATCATCAACTTCCCACTGGTCAGATGATTTTCTGTCATGTTTGATATTTTGGTCACATGACCACACACACTGGTGACTGGAGCCACAAGTCCATCCCCTGTCCCCTTTTCTCCTGACTTTAAATACATATATATATATATATGTACATATACACATATTGCTTAATAACTGACCTGATCAATATGATGACTTTGTTTTTAACCAGCGCTACTAAAGATTGTTTTAGCATTTAAATGAAAATGTGAAAGAAGAGATCAAATTTTAAAAGGGAGTTTCTTTGAAAATAACCGTGGATGTTTTTGTCTCTGTGTACCTGGATGTCCAATGTGGAGAAGTAGCTGTCCATCTGTTCGGGGTCGTTGATGTCCGGCCCGCTGCAGACGGGACACACCATTTCTCGGATGTGTTTGTCTCTCACAGCGATGGTGAAGTGCTGCCTGAAGCAGTCGTGACACACTGAGCACTGACAGGAGGTCAGGGACTGCATCTAAAAAAACCACATATTTTGTTGATTATGTGTTGATTTTGGAAAGTGGAACCATGCACCACTTTGCTGAATTGTCCTGTAAATATCTTAGTGTTTTCTTTGATAAAATCTCATCCTTTTAACCTTAAGATATATCACTCATTGGGAATATTTTGCTGTGGAAAATGTGAATGCTTTAACACACTTTGTCAGACACCTACAGTGGTTTAAGACCTTAAAAAGAAGTGTATGGAAATAATAAATCTTTATACAGATAGTCTACTTTGCTTTTTTAGCTCATAAAAGGTTATCTGTACTAATTTCAGTCTCTTTCTTAAACAGCTAAAAACTTCTCAGAGGAGCTTAAATTGAAGTGAAGAAGGATAATAAATCATCACATTCTGTATTTGGGAAGAAATGCTGCAAATATGATTCTTTTCTGTATCCCTTAACTCCTTTTTCTTTCCTGTTTATTTCTGCAACCTGGCTTAGAAAGCCTTTTGTTCAGAATTTTTTTGACAAATTTCTGAATATAAGGAAGTTATTTACCACACTCCAAATTCCATTTTTTTAAGTAACTCACACGTCTTCCCCTCTTTTCCTCCATTAACACGTACATACAAGCTTCATCCCACTTTTCATCTCATCATTATTTATAGCTTGACTATAGTTCTGTGTAAATGGTAAATGGTAAATGGTTCCTTACAGAAAGAAAAAGTACTTATAAAAATAAAACCTGCTGAGTGAAATGTATGAAACAACACTGAAGAAGATGCTGCAGGTATAAAGTCTGACCCAGTCCCGCCCTGCTCACCTTGCTTCGAGGGAAGATGCTGAAGCAGCAGGGACACTCGTTGTTGAGGAGACGTCTGATGAAATCTTTGTCGGGGGGGGACTCTTTCACAGCTTGCACCACGTCCTCCAGAGAGCAAGTGACCTCTGACTCCTGAAGCAGAGCGAGGACGAGCTCGCAGCGCCCCCAGCTGGGCAGATCGTACAGCGCCAGCAGACGTCTGCACATCCTCTGTGGAGCAGCAAACAAAGAGTTAACCTGATATTAAAGGTAACGCCACACCTGAATTTAATACACAAACAGCCCACAGGTGGTTTCGGCTGCAGTCTTACCTGTTTGTCAGGGTGTTTGGGATCAATTGGAGGCTCAGGCTGGTCTGCCCAGATCTGCTGGTGAAAGTGCTCCAGGAGGGGGCGCTGCAGCAGAGACAGAGCGCCCTTCACCTCTCCTCCGCTCTGACGCAGCGCCTCCTCACACTGGGACACGTCCCTGAAGCCCAGAGAGTGCAACTCCTTCATCTGCACACACACACACACACACATCGAACACACACACAAAGCAGGGATCAAACAATGGCTCACTGTCTGCAGCAAATACGAGGACTGTGTGATGGAAACTGTCTGGAAAAAAATGACAAACCAGACCAAACCGAACTGAACTGGACTGCTTGAAGGCTACAAAGGGAAATAAAAGCCCCAGATACAAATTAAAAACACATTACTTAAATGTGTTATTTCAAGACATTAAAATGACTCGTTTGCTTCCCTACTTAAGTTGCATACATACATCTCGTTCCCACGGTTTAAAAGTTTCTATTTGCTATCTAGTTTCTACATCAGGCTCATGAACCAGGGTCAGGAGGAGTTTAAGAGGGTTGAACAGCACTCCGACATTCCCCTCCCTGCACATCACAGACGCTCTTTTTTCAGCTGTTATCTTTCAAGGTCAGAGAGCCGGGAGATACTGAAAACATCCTGATTTCTAACTTCTTGATTTCATCTGTGGGAAGCTGCTTATCAACATCAGCTGGGTTACATTAATGAGACTCTGCTCCCCCTCTTGCAAGGTTCACTGAATAAAGACTCGGTGTTTTTATTCAGCAGATTCAAAGCCTCGTAAAATAAAAAGTGTGAAGAGTTCAAGGCTAAATAACAGCTTATTCAGAAAGAAACCTACAGGGTTTGAGGCCCAACACAAACATGTAAGTACAACTGTCGTTACTCACAAAGATGTTTGGAATATTTTGTGTCATGAAGCAACTTTAGGAGAAGACTCGGACCTCAGCAGGAGAACTGTTTTCATGAAACAGTTGGTGTTGGGCTTGTTTTTTTTGTTTATATTTTCATGTATCTAGTATTTGAAAGTCCTGTTTTTGCTTAATGCTCTGTTTTCAACTCTTTTTCCGGATATTCAAAGTATTAAATGATAAGAAGAGATATTAAATAACATCGTGCTTTGAAAGGTTCCCTCTGTAGCATCGTTGTTGTTTTTGCACCTTTATTCAGAGACAGAGATCAGGGACAGAGAGAGAGTGGAGAACGACATGCAAGAAGGAGCCAAAGGTCGGATTTGAACCCATTCCTACCTTGACCTGTCTGTCTCTCAGCAGCTGTCTCACGGCTCTCTCTGTGTCTCCTCCTGCAGCTAACCACGCCAGCTTGGCCTCCGCCCGGGACAGCTTCACACCTCCACCTGTGACGGTCAGACCAGTCGCCTCTTCGTCTCTCTGCAACTCAAGGAGCATCCCAGAATCCTCTGCTTTGTAGTTTAGCTGGACGGAAGCCGCCATGGCGCAGATTTCATCCAGCAGGTGAGGCAGCTCTGACGTCAGCCAATCACAGGGGTTTGTGTTGCTGCCACCGCACATGCAGATGGCTGCGTACACCTCCTCAGGACTGACGCCGCGCTTTTCTGCTTCCTGCGAGGGAGAAACAGGGTGAGTCTGATTTCTTCTTCTAATGAGCTGACTCGAACACTACGCAGGTGTATAAGTAAATAAACAACAATGACCAAAAAGATCATTTTCATATATCATTGGAGGGAAGTTATTGGGAAGATTTTGGTTCTTTAGACCAGTTAATTAATTTATAGCTATTATTTTATCAACAGTTTTATTCTCCCCCCTGATCACATGAGCTGTCATTCTTATAACAAACTCAGAGTTCCTGCTGCTGTCTTTCAAAATAAAACATATCAGCTTTAACTTACTCTGATCTGGTTGACGAGCCTGAGGCCGTCATCCCTCATCATCTTCTGTCTCTTAAGCTCCAGGTTGACTCTGGGTTTCGGTTGGGGTTTGATCCTCGGCTGAGGTTGCTCTTTAGCTGCGGATGTCGGGGTCTGTTGGGGGGACTGGGGCAAAGAAACTCTAGTGGAGTCTTTACAGGCCTGGTTGCACATCACACACACCAGAGCGGGCTTTGTGTTTTCAAAGGTGCAGAACTGGCACATCCACTGGGGGGAAAAAAATAAGAGAATAAAAAGACTAAATTACATTTAGAAAACATGACAAACAAATGAGATGAGTTCAATCAACATATTATTTCTTTAGAAAAGCAAAACAGCAATCAAATTTTGATTTTTAGAGCAAGAGTATCAAAATTAGAAGTAGCTCACTTCAGGGCTTGAAACAAATGCTAAAATATTCTCTCAATTGGAGGAAGAAAAGCAAAAGTCAACTCTGAATAATGACTGAAAGAAGTAAACTTAAAGATGTACAGTAAATCCTGAGAGAGAAAAATCTGTTTAGGTTTCTTTGAAACAGCAAAAACAAGCTGTGAAAACAACTTAAATATTTTTACAAAAAGTTACTTTTTAACACATCTGAGGAGCAACGTGATCTATTTGGAGTCCTGTTTGTGCCCTCTAATGAATCTAAGGTACATTTCACTCGTTGTAGCTCTGTCTTAGGTCTCCTGTTTGAAGAAAACACTTGGCTCTTCAGATGCTACAGGCTCCATTTTGTAAACTTTTTTCATTAAAATGTATTCTATGGGAGCTCTCAGAGTGAACAAAAACAGTTAAAGTTGCTGCTGGCCAAGTGTAAAACAGACTCCTCTTAATACTAAGTATTATTGCCAAAAATAACAAAGATTGAGAGATTTCTCAGCAGCAGTGAGACAGACCTTTGTTCCAGAGTCAGACAGAGATCCTGGACTGGACAGAACCGGTGTGACCGGCGGGCGGGTGGCCAGACGAGGGCGCTCACACACCTCACAGAGGATGCTGCTGCCTTGATTCACAACAGTGCAGCTCTTGCACTGCCACTCTGAGGGATCAGAAACACACATTCTACTGTCGACATCACAATCTGTCACAATATCTTCATTTAGAGGGGTCGCTTTTAAAAAGCTGAGATGTGTTAGTTTAAATCTTTTGGAAGAATTATATTATTGCACATGCCATGAGCATTATACCTGTTTTCCAGAAGTGTTTTATTTTAAATTAATATGTAAAGCAAACATAAGGCTGATAAATAATGGTCTCATGTAAGTTGATATAAAGGAAAAGAAGGAATTTAAATGAGGAAACAGTTCACATTAAAATACATATAGGTTGCGAGGTTTACTTATTGTAAGTGTTTAAGTGATCTTTTCTCCTTTAGAAGTGCTTTATATCTTTGTGTTGTGTTGTGAGTCTCACCTGTGTTGAGAGATGTTGGGATTGACGACAGGCTTTCCTGAACATTGGAGGCAGCCGTGGCGAGTCGGGGTCGTTCACAGGTCGCGCAGAGGACGGCCTGCATCTCGTTAACTGTGGTGCAGTGAGAGCACTCCCAAGGTGACAGAGACGGACTGAAAGACAACCAGAAAAGGCAGAAAAATGATGTAAAAGTTTGTGTAGCTGCTCCTGTCTTTTCTTTAACAGCATGGATCTTGATAAATGATGCATCGATATAACCGATAATAAAAAAGGCTTGGGGAATGAGAGCAATTCATGGACAGGTTATTTAAGCTCACTCTGTGCCCACAGGACAATAATAGCAGCAAAGAATTCCACAGTAAACAGAAAACTTAAAAGACTGTAAATAAAATTAAAATAATAAAAGAGAGAAGGGGCATCAAACTAAATCTGTAACACGATTGTAATGGAGCCAAATAGAGGCGTCTTAAATAACCCTTATTATAGCTTTTGTATTGACTGTGGGTGTCGCTGTGTGACTACAGACTGAATTACACTTTAGGAAGTCACAGTCTGGATCGGCTGTGTGATCCCTGAAAGATGAAGCGCAAAGTGCGTGTCATTGAAAGTCTGAAGCATGCATCTTGTTTTCACAGTTATGGGCATAATTCTCTAATAATAATGATTACTGAACTGAATTGTGTAAACCGCAATCAGGTCTGACTGCCGATATACAACATCTCAGTTCCTTTAAACGTTGTCTGCAAACTACAGTAAAGGCACGTCAGACAGGTCACTGCAGGATCAAATGTGTCAGTAGCACAATATTAAGATTGTTCTCCCAGAACAAAAACAATATGAAAAATCTACTCGACACTCATAACAGGTAGAGTGTTTACACTCGAGATCTTGGTCTAAAAATTAAAAATCTGTAAACAAAATCAAGTAAAGTTTGACTTCAGCAAACATGTAAAGGTGTTTTACAAATGTATTTCCTCTAAAGGATTCTTGTAAATATAGTTTAACTCTCTTACTCCTGTTCTCCACATGAAACAGTTTCAGGAGCGACAAATCAAACCTGGTGGCCTCTCATTCTTATTGCTACTCTTTCTTATCACTGACTGCATTATGAAGAGTCTTTTTCTCCTCACCTGGATGTTTTGGCCGGTGTGATGACGTTTCTGTTGTGTCCTTGGCGGTCGTGGTGAGAGTGGAAGAGCTTGTCACAGTGCAGACACAACCTCTGTGGACAGGTGAAGCACTGAACGTGCACAGAAGAAATCCCACAGATGCCGCAGGTGTCTGCAGACAAACAACCAGAAAACATGAAAATGAACACGACCTTCTGGATATTAGTGTTATTCGAACAAGGTCAAATTAAGACATTTGTCAGGTGAATTGAGCGAGAAGAGTGATGTTATATTTCTAATTTTAAAAATGTCCAACTCTTCAATAATAAAAAAAAATATATATCTCTGTTGGGCTTGTTTGGTCCTTTTGACACTTTGCATAAAACTAAAAGCCTGTGTCTGGCATCAGTCACTAATTGGAAGAACTTTGAGTGCAAAGATTTCATCTCAGTTATTAAAGTCCATCTTCCTGCTGAAGGCTAAAGCAATATTCCAAAACATCTTGTATCCACTAATCATTTAGACCTATGTTCAAATACGACTTAGATGGAAAATTGACATACCTTCTTTGGTTTTCTGTATTTTGTCTCTCTTGTGATTGGTTCTCTCAGGGTGGCGGTGGAAAAAGTCATCGCATGCGGCGCAGAAAGGCTGCTTGTTACAAGACGGGCAAACCAGAGACGAAGGTCCACCGCACAAATGACACTCACCGACTGCAGGAGAGAATGTGCCTGAAGGGAAAAGGAGAGATGGTGAATTCATTTAGGCTTTTATAGACTCCTTCAATTCTACTGGTTACAGTAGAAAAGCTTATAAAAGAATACCAAGAGCAGGTAGAGAGGTGTGGTGGCAGCTGACCTGTTGTTGGGGTCAGAGGTTGTTGTCCTCCGGTGCTCTGAGTGGGTGAAGGAGACAGAAGCTGCTGGTTGATTCCCTGCTGCTTCTCCTCTCCAGGCAGAAAGGGCGCCGAGTCACTCACCAGCGTGTCCTGAGGAGAGAAATCACAATCAGCCCTCTGTACATGATGTGCTCAGCCTGAAAAAATGTTTTTCAAAACACCATTATTAAAAATAAAAGGAACCAGAAACCTGAGAGGACACGAAGATCATAAAAAACACCTTTACGTTTAAGGTCTAGAAATCATTCAAATCAAACCAGCGTTCCTTTCTTTCATCATCAGTGAAAAAAAACATTGAAGGATTTCGAAACCACTCCAAGTTGTCCTTAAATCATGATCTCTATGTGTAAGTAGAGAGGTCTGCTGAATTCCAACACAGGTTCCTTTTTTCAACGTATGATTTGATCGAATGAAGCAGAGCTGCAAAATTAAATGTCTTTTTTCCACAACTTTTTAATAAAGCAATCGAAGACCGTTGATAAAAGCCAATGGAAATGTTTGTACACACCTGCTGGATGATTAATGGGAAGATGTCTTGGATGTACTCAGGCTGTGGATGGGTGCCCTAAACAAACAGACAGAGTACTGTGTATGAATTTCTGACACAAACGCAGCTCACTCGGATGTTTTAGGTAATCAAATGTCTGCGTACAAATACCTGTATGAGCATGTCCACCTCAGCCCGTAAGCTCATGACCTCAAGTGTCAGTGCAGCAACCTTATTAGCGTCCGGTTCAGCGACTTCCTCCGGGAAACTGAGGCCGTCTATCTGCTGATTGGTGTAGCCGTACAGATACAAAACTTTTCGGCCGCCCTAAAAGGGACAAAAACAAATCAAATCGAGACCTTGAACACCCGCCAGAGATTGTCTTGGCACAACATGCGACAGAAAGTTTATCATTTATGTAAATGCAAAGGTCTGCAATACTTTAATAGGTTGAATTCTGCTAAATGATCTGCCTAACTGAAGATTCATTGTTAAATCCACTCTGAGTGCACGAGGTTCTGAGACTTTTGCTCACTTTGATTGCGTCCACCGTCCTTTTGAAGGTGGGGTTGTTGTGTTTGACGTTCCTCCAGTATTTGGGCCTAGCAGGATTCGTCAGGTTACAGCCGTACTTCTCAAGGACACTCAAGGCCTTGACCAGTCTACTCAAGGACTCCAGAACCTGAAGTAGAAGCAAATTCAATGCTGGAGTTAGGAGCTTATTTATGATTTGTTCAGATAAAAGGGGCTCTGTATCTGTTGTCTCTACATGTCCATGTGTGAGTGAGAGCAGCGGGCACAGGGCTGCAGAAAATGATCAAAGACTCAAATAATAAGAAGTATGATTGTGTGTTAGAAATTTGAAATAATGTATATAAAAACACATTTATCTGAATACACATTTCTACTTTTTCCTCATATCCCAAAATACTGTCTACCACAGAAAGAAAAAATAATGCAGAGCCAGTTTTTTTCCAACATAGTGCAACCTTACAACACAAGGAGAAACATTTGACCCCAACTAAGATAACAAGTCTGTGTCTGTTGTTAAGAAATGACGCAAGAGGGTAAGTAAGCGTTAGTGCACGCACCCCATGTACAAAGGCTCAAGTCCTCGAGAGGATTTCAAATGATTTCAAACCTTTTAGTTATAAAATCCAAAATGACTTTGTGTAATCTCTGTAGTGAGACTTCGTGTTGCTGTGCCTTTAAATTTGGACTTTTTCAAACTCAAACTTGACACTGAGTTTTCTGTGTTTTGTTTGAATGTCTTTAACAGAGGGGGACCGTCAAGGCCCCTATCTATTTGAAAAGTCCTCAGTTCTAATTGTATCAGAACAGATTGTATTAATTCATCATTTGACAATGAATAAACATTTAATTAACACACTATGATAATTTCTTTCAGCTGTCGGACGCACAAATAACAAGCTTGATTCAAATAAGAGGGCCAAGGTTTAAGAGTCATAGGTCACTGGTCTTTAATGACATTTTTGACTCTTCAAAGGTTTAGAAGAGAATACAAACTTAAGGTTGCAGTTATGAACACGCATCAGTCAAAGAAAGCTTCACCTCCTGCCTACTGTGGCCCACAACGTTCTCCCTCAGCATTTCGTCGGCGCCCACGTGACAGTACTTCTCTGACAGAGGCAGGGGGACGCTGGCCATAATCTGGACCTCAGTCTTCACATCCTGGGCTGAACCTGAGGAGGAGAGGATGGACTGGCCTCTCCTCCTCACCTCCTCAAGCTGGTCAGAAGCTGAGCCGCCGCTCATAGCTGCCAAAAGGAGAGGAAGTGTTTAAAACAGGTACTAATAAAGTGCAAAGCAGGGGCAGGAATTCAGGAATAAAACATATCGATGGTCAGGCCAAACAGAAGGTGAGAACACAATCAAAAACAAGAACAAGAAATCAGTTACGTTAATGCTTCCAATAAAAACCAAGCACACACAACAAGAAATTACAGCACAAAAAAGAAAAATGAAAATGTAGATAATTAATTATATTTGGTATTTAAATGACTCATCTTTGCCCTAAATCAAATGCCTTTTCTTTTTTTTGCTTAATGTCATATTTTGTTCTTTTTGGATTTTAAATGTTGAAATATTTTGTATTTTAAAGTCACATCCTCTTCAAAAGTGGCTTGTTAGTTTTTTCCCCCCGTCTGTTGTCACACACTGAAGTTGCTATCCTGTGCTTTTTGTAGACAATGTTTGAGATAAACTCTAAAAAAAAATATATGAATTTGTTCACCTAGAGTGTGACTGACGGTGTGTTCAGTGTATGTTGAATAGGGTTAAGGGAACAATCAATCAATCTTTTTATAGAGTCAATTCATAACAGATGGTATCTCAACACACTCACATAACTAAGACCCAACATTAATGCACCATGAGCAACATTCAGAAAAGTTTAAATGAGACTGTGTTTGAGGTGAGAGGGGATAGAGGGAGATGCTGAGTTATTTCTGAGCAATAAGTAATTATTATTATTATTATTATTGTTACTATTATTATTATTATTATTATTATTATTGTCTTAAACAATTCCTTTCACTTTAACTCATGACGTCATAAGGAAAGTACAAGGCTAATCATAGCTTTTCACTGTTTACAGTCACAAGAGGCTGAATGTGAAATTACAGCAGAACCAAACGCCACACAACCCGTGATGCTTTTCGTGATTAAAATAAGATCTATTTTACTTCAGAGGTGTTAGTTTTGAATCTCACGCCGGCAGGAAACTTTGATAGCAGAAGCTAAACGTTACTTGAAACCGAAACTTTCAGTTACTGACAAACAGACGTAACAGCCACATACCTGCTGAATAAAGTTAACGTCTGGACGAGTTGCGACACTTACTCCGTCCTTTCCGTGTAAGCCTTTGTGTTGTCATTAATAAAAATGTAACGTCTTAATGATCCTTTCTGTAGTTATTTAATCTCCAACACTGGTGTTACAGTGTCTAGGGCTCTGACGTTAGCTTTAAATACGGAAGTCAAGTTTGACGCTTTTTTTACTGACGGTGTTACTTCCGCTCCGACTTCGTCCTTCAAAATAAGAGCGGAAATTGTTGTTTGCACGTAACTGTGTCTTTGTTTATGTTGTTCTGTGTACAGGCTGCTCCAAACTATTTGCCCCAAGAGGGATTAATAAAGCTGTTTAAATTTAATTTAATTGATTTGTGTGAGGAAAGCCTGGGAGTTGAGATGATTTGGGGGACAGTGTAAAGATAAAAGTCAGATTAAGATTTACTTTTATTGAAGGGGACATTTCAGTTTTTACACTCTGTAAGTTATGAACACACACATAGGCTGAAATATACACACACATGCACAAAGAGGATCCTATGGACATGCACTAAGGGGAGAGATGTCAGAGTGACAGAGCGGCCTGCAGAGGGCGCTCCTGAGCTGGTGTGGTGCCTTGCTCAAGGGCACCTCGACAGTGCTCAGGAGGGGATCTGGCACCTCTCCAGCTACCAGACCAACTTTCATATTTGGTCCGCACCGGGACTTCAACCGGCAACCCTCCAGTTCCCAACCCAAGTCCCTACAGACTGAGCTACTACAGAGTGTGTGTGTATAATATGTGTTTTCATCATAGACTGCATAAAAGATAAATATAGTCACATTGACGTCCCCCATTGGTTTCTGAGGACAAGTTTTGAAAATCAACAATGGCAGTTGCCATATTGAAAAGTCTGTCTCAAACTCACTTACAGCCAACCTATAGATTTAATAGTATTGTGTAGACTTTTTTCCTTGCTTTCCTGATTTTTTCTTTTTTTTACCAGGCTCTAAAGATGCTGTAAAAATTGACATTTCAAAATGGGCCATACAGAACTTGTACTTCTAGTTAAATATTTCTTACAGTGTGGCTTTTGTAGCCGACTTTTAATCAAATAAAATAACTAATAAACTCTTCCACCACTGAGCTTCTTGACAAATCTTTAGTTTGCACCAATGTAAATATTTCAGTTGTATTAGCCTATAATCCTTTGCAAACTTTAGCAGACAAGTAATTTCAACAGAATTACAACAGAGGATTAGGGCATGTTAAAAATGTTTTTCATTTTTTATTTCGAGATTAAAATTGTGAATTATAAAAGAATAAAGTCGTAAATTAACGAGTTCGAGACCAGCCTGTGCAAAAATGATAAAAGTAGAACTCTTTAAAGCATTTTCCTCTGCAGACACAACTTCCTCCAAGTCAGTGTTGTTCTTTCTTCAGAAAAGCCACAGTGTCTTGCAGTATCTTTTCAGGTTCCTGATATTTTATGACAATGTGAAGATGACGATGTGCCAAAAGTACGACGGAGGATTAGGGCCACATTTAAAAAAAATAATCTTTTTTTAAATTTTATTTCGAGATTAAAGTCGTAAATTTAGTCGGTAGTCGGTAAAACCAGTTTGTTCAAGAGAAGTTTTCACTTCAACTTGAAGACCTTGTTTATCTGTAAAATGATGAACAGGACACAGACTGGCTTTGCACATGAGACACTTTAGCAAGGCAGACCGATAACAGACACAAATAGTTGTGTTGGGACTTTAGGCCTACTTATGCAGATATGAAACTACACATGCTTTTGTACGGAAGAGGATTAGGGCCACTGAGAAAAAAAAAGTTGGTTCTGATTTTTTACAGCGTCGACAGAGACGGGACACGTTTGATATCAGCACCGACCCCACCAACCTGTTTGGCATCATTACGGTGAAAAAGCTACAGAGCTTTATAAAGAAAGGTTATACATGTAAGTGTAAGATCGGCGTTACAAGTTAGAGGTCAAAAATAGTGTGAATCAGTTCAGTGTTCATTTATCGTTTTGTCAAAAATCCATATATTAGTTTTATTCTACCAGTCGACAGATTTGATGGTGTTTGTTACTGTGAAACATACAATGAATAGCCCAGATTTTTATTAATGTCATTCTTTGAAATTGTCCTACCTTGATTTAGGACAGGCGACAATACGTACTAGGCCTTTAATTCTTTTCAAACAAATAAAACTTGTGGTGTATTATAAATGACAGGAAAAACAGCTTGAGTTTATACTTTTTTATTTTATTACAAACCTGCTACATCCCTAAAAAGATACTTCAAGATATAGGGAGAAAGTTAGAGAAACCTTTTGGAACAATGTTTGAACTTAAAGGTTATTCCTGGTACATTTAAACATGGTCCCTACTTGTGTTGTTTGGGGTCAAAATTATTAATTCATCCAACGGTTTTGGCTCCTGTGGAAGCTGGCAGTAATGACTTTAACGCATTCCTTTGGGACAATTTTGCTCACTCAAAAAATGCATCTACTGAAAGTTTGTCTTCTCACTGAGAGGCTCAGATTGTTCTTCTCTTTGTCTGACTATAATTACAAAGAGGGTTCTTACAGAGGTACCTCCAAGATGGGCTCTTTTGCAACCCCGGAAAAGCCTTGACATTGTTCTCATAAAAGGTACAAGACTTGATTGACATGGAGTTTCTCTTGCCTCCCAGTTCAGTTTGAATGAAAGGGCACATCATGTCAGTATAGCACTGCAAGAACTTCTTTCTTCGGCATCAAAATAGCGAAGAAATCAAACTTCAGGGAGTTTAAAGTTGTTTCTTGTGATAAAAACTGCAGTAAAAAGTATGTCACCCTGAAAGGCTTGTTCACCGTCCAGCCGCTGAACTTTGAGAGTAAGCCCAGTTACACTCTGAAGGTGGAGGGCGCCAACATTAACCTGGACCCGACTTTACGCCACTCAAGGACGTCACCATTGTGCATGTGAGCGTGGAGGACGAGGATGTGGTCGAGCCCCAGCTGTTCGACTTGGAGGCGTACATCATCGAGCTGCCAGAGGCTGCAGAAATAGGGACGGTGTTGAAGACGGTGTCAGCAAGGGATCCTGATGCTGCCAACAACACTGTGACTTCATGTGGTGCTTCAGAATTCTCTAAATATTCTATTCTAGTATTTTAAAATACAAGCCGTCAGTGCCTCTCTCACCAAAAATGCTACATCATATTCATAACAAAAACACTTTTAAGGGAATCATGAAACGTAATAAATGTTGTTATTTTCACACACACATTTTACTATCTCACTGTTGGATGGCAGAAACAATGAAACAAATAATACAATTGTACAACAAAAGGAACTAGTTTGAGAATTTGTCTCATTTTAATTGAAATGAAATGAGTGCAAACAATGTTAATAATACACAAAACACATCAGCAGATTCTGGGATTTGAATGACCTCGTTCATTCAGAATAAGTCATATTTCTTGTTTATTTCCCAATGCATGCTGGGTAAGGCTGTAACACCTGCAAAGCAAGTGTGACTTTTTGTAAATATACAGTGATTAGATAATTAAATTAAGCTGGATATACCAATATGTTGAAGTTTACAGTCAGTGGTAACACGTTTTAGAATGTGGCTCTTCTTGTGTGTGATGCCACCTGATCACCAGCAGGGGGCAGCATTACAACATATTTAGAAGGCACAATTTAACAACCTGTGTGTTTGAGATCTCCATGGTAACACATGTGACAGTAATGAAGAGGAGGAGGAGAAGGACAAACGTGATAACGTTAAAAACAAATCTGACAGGTTTAGAGCTCCAGCAATTAGTCAGCACCCAGAGACTGAAAGCTGAGGACTTCTCTCAATTATGGAGGTGTATGTTTGTTGTGTTCTGACAGAACAGATGTTGCTTGCTGGGTTTACTGTCCAGACTGCACCTCTCATAAACTAATTAGACATAAAGCCTTTAATTAGCACATTAATCATGTGAGGGAATCAATGACTGTGGCGGTGGATGCACACTGCACGGGCTGCACCGCGTCCCAGCTGTCCGTTTTTTACAACCTCGATTAGGGCCAAAAGAAGAGCACGAGAAGTGGATGTAGTTGACAAGGTAGTTGCTCCTGTGTGTGTGTGTGTGTGTGTGTGTGTGTGTGTGTGCGTGTGTGTGTGGACACTCAGCTGTTTATCTCAAGTGCTGCGTCTGAAAAATGTCCTCCTCATTCTCGATTGTTTACAGCCAATACTGAGCAGGAACACTTATGGATCCTCCTTAATTTTACCATCCTTGACAGATAAAGTGTTATAAAATCTTTTGAAAAAAATTTGTGTTATGGGATTTTTTTGTGTGCAAAACAAGCAGGGCACACGCTGTGGATAATACTTCATGCTGCATTGTGGAAATTTATGACATTTGTAAGACTTTTGTTTATGAGGCAAAACATGAATGTACTGTCTGGAGTTTTTAACTGGTTGCAAAACAGATTAAATGTAAACCTGCTGCATTATTAGGTTCAATAAATACATGCATGTCTGTCACAGCAGTCACTAAAATGTAATCCGACCAAATGATTCACAGCATGGAAATTGAAGCAGCCTTTGTAGATATCTCCACGACAGGAGATTTTTCTTTACAGTAAAACAAACATGCATGCAGGACAGGATCAGCAAAGAGATACAGCGTGCTGCATTGTTCACAGGAGCTTCAAGGATGGACATATGAAGTTCTCAGTAGCTTAAAGGGCGGACAATTGTGTTTCGTGTTAGTTCAGCTTTTAGAGAGCTGCTGCTGTTGGGTAGATTTCCTTTATCAGAGATGATTTAAAAAAAAAAAAAAGCTAAACTGAAATTACTGAGCAGTCGAGACCACAGTGTAGATTTAAAATCTTTCATTTAAGGCTGAAAATTACCATGTGCGCCTGGAACATTCTGTTCTTCTTGGTGCAATGTCACAGTGATACAATCTATGATGATATCAGAAACTCAGACTACTAAAACCTTTAGATTTTTTTTGGCCATTTTAGACTCTTTAGCGCTCGTCTCGGTTTTCTGTCAAAACTTCGTCATACATGTTGTTGTGATAGTCAGTCCCTTAACTTTGGGATCATCTTTAAACTCTCCAGTGATGACAATAATCGACAACTCTCTCGATTCCTGAAGAGAGCTGGAATCAGAGCCAGTGATGCTGTTAAATCCTCAGAGCTGGTGCTAAAAGTCTGGC